TCTAGCTGGTAGTAAGTAACCTCGTAGGTCAATGGTCGGTAACCATTTGGAGGGACATGCGACCAGAGACACGCATTTCAGATTCGATGGTTACCAACTGATCGAGCTGGGCTAATAGCGTGATGGGGGAAATGAAATAGGCAGCTGAGGTGGCTGCCGTCTGCCGCGTATTAAGAGTAGAAAACCATTTGTGTAGGTAGTAGAGCCTGACCTCATCACACGCAGACCTGGCTCTCAAAGACGAGGAAACTGTCTCTTAGGCCACGGAGTCCATCTCCCAGACAGTGAGATGAGGATTTATCTCGCAGGCGCATGTGGGTCCTTTTGGAAGGTGAACTCAATTGCGGCTCCCTTCCATTGAAGGCATTGCGGCAAACCCTGCTTCCAGCAAATCAAATTTACTTGAAGCGTTTTAAAACGACTCATTTCTGCGGTCCCCAGCCATTTGTACGGGCAATTTGAGCGAATGGCACGTAGATCACTTTCGACCGTGATCAGGCCATTGGTGTGCTTATACAAAGCCGTACAAGCAAAAAAGAATGCAGATGCCAGGATTGTCTGTCTCTCGGGATATGATCCCATCACCTCCTGAATCAGCGAATCGGAGGGCCTGTCCGCCGACGTAGGACTCGTCCTCTCAGGTCTCAGGCATGTGAACTAAGGAGAGATCTATGTTGTGGAATCTATGAAGGGACGGGGTATTTATATCCCTGCAGAAACTAGCAAACCGATGGGCGAACATCTGAAATGCCCTTTATAAGGTCTTTCCAGTGGTCTTTCCAATGGTCTTTTGTAGTGAGGACTCTGAAGGTGGCTGTATATATATATTCTAGACTCTTTCTCTAACTTCAACTTTTCATATTTTTCCAAAAATCTGCTGTTAAAACACAAATAGTGTGTCTATTAAAGCAATCAGAAGACAATGTGCACACTATCACTACCTAAAACTAAAACCCATTTGAGTGAAGTTCACAGCATCCCCCGAAGAAATGGCTATGTATCCCAGACGCCATCAAAGATGAGATCTTCGCAATGGCACACGGAGAGGGGCACCTCGGCTTCCATCGTGCATGGCGGTAGATGCGAGGTTACGTTTTACACAAAGGGGCCAAGAAGCTGCGCGCGTACATCGATCAATGTGACGAGTGCAGGAAAAATGCGGTGCCTAGACACAAGCCCTATGGCTCGCTTCAGCCGATGCTAGCACCCCCAATCCCATTTTATACTCTATGCATTGATTTCGTTACAGGCTTACCCCGAACGAAGAAAGGACACCACGCAGTCGCGATCTACACCTGTAAATCGACAAAACGTCTTGGCTCTACACCAGGGAAGACCCGAAGACTACACGTTGGTATTTAGAAACAAGCGAACTGCCTTTTAAGATAGATGGATTCAATAAATAGAGAAGAAAATAGAAGAAAGAAAAACCATATTAACCTCAAAACACCCCAGCTATGACGTTGTTGAAAGACAACACACAAGAGCACGAGAAAAAAAAAGGCGATGCAAAGAGATAAACCACCATCTATGTCGACAGATACCTGAGACTTTTGCTGCAATCCTACACCGCAATTGGAGTAGGGTATTTTGCTTTTATATTTCTCTTTATTTTCTGGGTTGGACATATTGGGTCCAACCTCGTCCGTCTGTGGTCGTCCAAGACCACAACTTTTGATTTGTTTCATCGGTTATATTCGGTTTCGGAGTAGGCTGACTCCGAGGATATTGTTGAATTTCTGGAGTGCAATGTTGAGCGTTTCTTGCAATCGCAAGAATGAGATAAAGGTGTGGGTGAGGTTTTGTCAGGATCATAGGTAATTGATATCGCGTGTTCGGCAAAATGACATTGGGAAGCGCGGAGGGATTGATCGGCGTCATTTCATCATAGTGAGGGGATCGGAATCAAAATTGGACAAGTTGTAAATGGCTTTACGCCTCCGACGCCCAGCGGGACTCGCGCAGCGGCATCTCCTCGCCAGCTTGCTTGCGGCTTCCGTCTACCTCACGCTTCCATGCGTAGTACTCACCGAGACGGGTCTCAGCGTAGCTGGCGTAGTCGAAATCGATCTGGGAGATTTGTGCTTGGATGAGTGCCCAAACGCCCCTGAGAGATATTCTTAGCATGACATAGCCACGGAGATGATTTTCTAATTGGGTTTGATGAACTCACCAGTAGAGACCAGGAATGCCACGGAAGCGGTCGACATCCTCGTATAGGCGGTCAACAATCTCACCCTGGGACGACGCGTCGAGACCACGCTGTTCGCAGTAGCTCTTTGTGTATTCAGTAAGGAACTGACGACGCACAGACTTGGTCGGCATCATGTTGTAATCGCAATCGTAGCCACCCCATTCAGCAAGGTGGTTCGAGATGTCGAAGGCTGCGGGCGCAGGGACGGCATATTCATAATCAATGAAGTTGACAGGCGCAGTACCATCTTTTGGAATGGGTAGGCCGTCCTCGCTTGGAAGAACAATGACGTTTGCACAGAGCAGATCGCAGTGCGAGAAGACGAACTATAAATGTAGCGATTAGCCAGATAGTCAACGACGCAATCCACATGTCTAGCGGAGCGAGATATGGAGCCGCATACCCCGTCTTCACCAATTCCCTTCCCATCGTCCAGAATTGCTAGGACCCACTGCAGCTCTGTTTGCAGACTCAACCGCCGAGCACGCTGCTCGGGCGTTGTGACTGGCAAGGCTAGCACCCACTTTTGCAGCACAGCCCACATCGACGGGCCCGCACGCCGGGGCTTGATTACGGTAATCTCATCGTCCTGGGATCCCGCAATCTCGGCCACAGAGACATCCTTGGGCTCCGGTCCGCTACTAGGCAGGATAGCGTGCCACTGCGCCAGGCGGCGGGCGACGCCGCGCCATATGGGCGGGGAGACTAGATCCTGGTGCCCGCAGGGTCTGCCGCGGATGAAGCGGTAGAGTAGGCCGTTCTTGAATCGGGCGAGGAGGGGCGGGGCCAGACCGCGGCTGGCCAGAAGTGCGTGTGACTTGGTTTCTCCTAAGGATAATTGATCTACTTCAGCATATGTCGCAATGGGCAAGGGAGGCGCAGAGGGGCTTTGTATCTTGTTTGATACGTGGGGATTTTGAGGACGGTTGTCCGTCGGGGGATTTTGCTCGTACTTTCGCGGTCTATGAGGATCTCTGTGCCATTTCCGTACGCCCTCATAAGTACTGCCTCATTGTCTATTTGTTCCTCCGTAAGGCCGGGTTTCAGGTTGATAATTTTCAAGAGCTAGGGAACGGTTAGTCTCAGTTGAATTCTAACAACCTTATTGCTAGTCTTGTGGAATGCGAGATGCGACACTGGGAAAAAGAGAGACACACGGTGTTGGTGATGCCATCGGTGAATCGCACGAACTCAATCTTGTTGCCAGGACCCTCCCAGTCGGGGTTGAGGGTCAGGATTAGCCTGAGAGCAGATGCTTGGGAGTCCGCATGGTTGTATGATAGGGGAATGTATCGGAAATCTGGCGCTAGGGCCGTCTGAGTCTCTGTCGAGCCCATGTCGGAATCGAGCGCAGCGGAGGTCGAAAAGGGGTACGGGCGCAAGTTGGTTCGGTTGATTTGGTGCTATTTAATTAGTCCACAACTGACAGGCGACGCCTCTATATCAGCGACGAGGTCCTCGAATTCAAAATTTAGGCAATTGCACAAGACCAAGCTGCTAGTGCAACGTGCGAATGGAGATAAATTCTAGAAAGAAGGAAAGCACGACGTGGAAAGGCCGATGTATTATGGCGAAGGTAGAACTAAAATTCAGGGGAGAAATTGGCTATCGATGGCGGGGAGGTTAATGAGAGCGAGGGGAGGTCTCGTGCTCCCGACCCGTGATTGGAAGATAGGATTATCTGCTGGGTACTTAACCTTGTCCACCGCCACTACTTGAAGTACATGGATGTCTTAAGGGGGCTTTTTTTTGAGATATGACCACTATTAAAAGATTGAATACCTGTTGAATGATTTAGTAATGTCACATCCTTTTATTCCAATTATAATTTGGTGGCGTAGTACTTTACTATCTTCCCTGTATGATGTAGATTGCTTGTTGCTTGTTATTTGTTGCCAAGTACATTGAAGTCACGGGATAATCACATGAAAAAAGCCTTGAAAGTCAAAGATAATCTGGGGTCACATGAATTTAATAAACCCTGAGATTAGCCCTACTTACCCAATCTGACAATATCCCTCAACAAAAATCGAAATTAGTCATAAAATCCAATATTAGTCAACGAAATGGAAAAATATTTTCACCGAGACCCAATTAGCTCTAGCGTATATTGACTTCCAGCCGCATAAATAGGACCTCCTCGCCCGCGCCTTTACTCTTTTTTTCTTTTCTCTCCATCATCAGTAGAGGTTTACATAACTTAATGTAAATTTCAACGGGGCTCCACAAAGTGGCTTGCTGAGGGTTATCCATGGCTTCGGTCAACATGGGTTTTCTTCCGTTCCCGGCCCTGGAGAGTAAAGGCGTCTCTCTTTTTCCCAATCACTTTATGGCTATGCTAGGGTATCCTTCGGGAAGCCCCATGGGTGCTAGCTGTGGAGAGGGCGTCACATACCATTTTTCAGTCACTTTCATGTGATTTGAGTTAGTCTTATCATGCTTCTCTCTGGTCTTCACTCTAGATCAGGGATTGCAACGGTCTTGTCAATATCTCGCGGTTCTTATCTGGTAATTGGTCCACGTTGTAAACGTTGTACATTTTGTGCAATCCATAAGAGTCTCAGAAGCCTCAGTAGTTTTATGAACTCCAGTGATGCTTTATCCAGCCAAGCCAAATCCATAATGTTCGGATTTCGTTTACCGAGATATTAGTTGTCGGCATGCCGCACATGTTGCGTTATGTATAACGAGCGAACGTTGGCTACGTACCTACGTATACAGCGAAAGCCGAGATCTCATTTGTCATCACCGTCATAACTTTTGAAACTTTCTATCGTGTAGATTTTTACATGCCCTCCCTCTCAAATCATGCATGTCCAGCGTTGCCAATCTGGATGCGCTGTCCAGTCCACTTGTCATCACTGCGCAAGACTGGCCAGCTAGTACCATCGGCTTTGATCAGGCTCAGATCTAGCTTGGTGCCCAGCACGCGGAAAGTTGACTTCTCCGGGTCAATCGACGCAAAGAGAGTATATGTATCCTGGTAGCGCTTGTTGTCTGTGGTAGGAAGGTCGAAGGTAATGGAGTTGGCAGAAAACCCAACCTTGGCCCGTTGCTTGTCAATCTTCTTAAGGTAAAGCGAGACATTGACGGCCGTAGGAGTCTGGTAGAAATCGTTTCTTTAGAACGCGAAAGCCTGTCAGTTTGCTGCTATCAAAACAAAATAGAACTGGCCCGCCTGTCCGGTCGTATACGCACCTGACTGTGTCCACCTTCTCTTCACCTGGGGGCTTGGCCTTTCCAACAAACATGTGCTTTGTCTTCTCTGTGCAGCCGGGGATCTTTAAGAACTCATCGAACTCGAGCACCCGGCGTTTGCAGCAGGACCACCCCTTGCTGCCTTCGTGGAAGATTGGCTGGCCCGGGTGGTGTACACACTTTTCCTCATCGCGAGCAGTCGACCCGGTATAGAACGCACCGCAACCCCTCCGACGACATGTTGCGTTAGCCGGGATCTCCGCATCAGGATCATCGGATTCAGGCTCCTCCACGACTGGCTTTTCAGGCGGCGCCGCAGTTGCGATAGTGGGAGTAGTGGAGATGGGTGGCCGCTCAGACTTCTTCTGCTCGGCTGGTTGAGGAGCAATGACTTCCTCAGCCTTAGTAGGCTCCGGCTCGGGCGTGTCATCGACGGTAGAATGCTTGCCAGTCGTGCATGGCGGGATGCTGAGGAATTCCTCAAAGGTCAAAACGCGGGGCTTGCAACATTTCCAGCCTGAAAAGTTAGCGGTGTCGGGGGGTAGAACATAGCAAAAGTCAGAGGCAAGATCAGGTGTCACATTGTGCTCGGCGCAATGGCCCACTGGGAATACTTGGTGGATTCATGGGACACAGATCTAGCATAGTTTGAACACCAAGGTACTTACCTTTCTGCCCCTCGTGGAACACTGGGGGACCCGGATGATACACGCAGTCTTCTTCTGGGTCGGTGAAGGTTTTGCCACAAGCTTTGTGGACACATTTTCCTGCCATATTGTATAATAGAACAAATTATGAGGGAATTGACGGGACTGAGTCGAGGGAGAAGATTGTAATGTGTTCTGGAGAGAATGGCGCGGGTTGCCTAACAGGGTTTAGCGGGGAAGCTCGAATGTTCCATCGCGGAGAACTCTCTGACCGCATTCGCGTCACGGCACCGGCCATCTGGAAACTCCGTGGTTGAATTGTCTCCTTGCATAATTGAATTGTGTCCCTATGTTTCCTACACATGCCCTTCTCGGCCCAGCCCGCTTGACGCTATTTACACGTGCGGGTTGTGGCCTCTGCGATACCGCTAAAAACACTGTGCTTCAGCTGCAGAAACGGCGCTCGTTCGAATACATCGAAGCCGATATCATGGAACCTGGGAACAAATCTTGGAAGGACGTTTACGAATTTGATGTTCCAGTCCTCCACATTCAGTCAGTCCACAACGGGTTGCCCAAGGAGGCCAGTCTCTCCGATGCACGTAAATTGTTCCATCGATGGACAGAGCAAGAAGTCGAGCGGTCGGTAAATGAAGCGGAGAAGCTATAGTCCTGATAATTTTATTTTGGACGAGCATTATATGTCGCACTATAGCCATTGCCACGATCCACTGGAACTGCGCGCTGCATACCTGGGACCCTCATATGGAGAGAATGCACATGGCCCTTTTTGCATTAGCTCTACAAAGTTGCTTCGCCGGTCCTGCTAGCAGGATCTATCTGCCCCACACATCCCACATTAAGGAGTACACTTCTGTATGTGTTTGAAATACGTTTGTCCATCAGTGGATGATGGTAGATACACCCACAATGTACTCGCTGGTGCCCCCATCGTTGTATAACATTTGTCTTCCCTGTTTTCCTCGGGGTTCTTGATGCCTCAGTGATATACTTGATCTCTGGTTCCAATTTCCAATTAGTTTTCCTACCCAAATTCAATGTTGGCTTGTCCTTGCTAGTTATTTGGTACAAACGCCCTAGGACTTGTGGTATTCGCCTCCACTCATTATTTTCTCTTGATCTGCAACTAGATTCGACCGATGATTAGAAAATAGTATCCCATATGTACATGTTTCCAATTTTCTCATGTACCTGTAAAGGCTACTATTGAGGCGCCGTAAGTATAGTCGGGATGGCTAAGGCGGTAAGATAACAACTACTCCCCTGACTAATAAACCCCTACTAACTAACTACTCGTTGGTAGCCCTTTTCTGATATCATGTTCATTACGCAAGAAGATGCGGCGTATGATTCAAGGTGATTGATTCGATGAGGCTGGTCTTGATCTTAAACTCTTGTTTTACCTCGAAGTTCTCGTCATAATCTGAACTCTAGAACTAGAACCATCTGCCATGGTGGACCTTAGGCCTCTACCACGCGCCTGTGCGCGATTCCATCGATTCCTTCAAGATTAATTTTAGAAGAACATATGACTGAACTCAGTGAGAACTTGCAAATCCGATCGGTATTGCAGGTGTAACATCTTTCGGATTCCACACAACTGGTTGCTCTCACTTCGCTGCAAGCTGTATGTACTTCACGAACCATCCAACAACTAACATGCTCATCCTGTCAAGTTTCATTTGATTGTTTCAAGAAGTTGAGCATGATATTGGTGAGTGATTTCCGATGTTCTCTTTGTGCCTGGCTTTATGGGTGTGCTGTACGGTCTCTATAAAGCTATAGTCAAACCAGCCAGACTAACTCTATCATTCCAGACCTGAGCAACAAAGACTAATGCTGTTACATTAATAAATCTGATTCTTCACTTAATCTCTTCAGTGAACTGAACCTCACTATGGCTGATCAGACGGCAATGACGAATGGTGCTGACACATCGCGGCCACCATCAGCTCCATTGGCAACAACCTATTCAGCATCACCTCACCCCTTAGGGTTTGCTTGTTAGAAATGCAGGTCAAGGTACAACCGCTGTGACCGCACTAGACCAGGCAAGTACTGCATGATTTCAGAGGGCAACGGGGATGCAAGTAGATCGATGACTGACAATTTACATAGTCTGCCATAACTGCCAGAGCATGGGATTTGCAGCTGAATGCTCATACCCTTCTGTGGCCGTGCCAATGTATGGTTATCCGCGCTATCAGCTTGGCCGTGTCAAAATAGCTAATTTTGTATTATCTAGTACCGAGAACAAAAGTGTCGGGAACAGAACCACCCAGAAGACTAGTGCCCCATTCTCATGGCCAATGTTCAATAATGTATCCGCTTTACCCGCAACGGGTCGCAAAAGACCAAAAGTTGCAGACAGTTCTGAACAAATTGACCTTTTCAATGCTGTGGTTGGATTATCAATCCAGAATTAGTTGGGCCATGTCGAGTAGATGCAAACGCCCTAGTAACCTCCTTCAAAACGATAGAAGATATCCAAAATTGGTTCCGATAGTTCCGCTAGGCGATCTGAACCGGAACGAAGTCAAACTGCACCATTTGGCACCAGTATGCCCAGTGGAAGTAGACTCAATCCTCCACGGCGCATGCGCAGTATATCTCCTACCCTGCACGAAGACGAAATGGAGCTCCAGTGCAACTTGACCTCCGAAATCAACATCTAGAGGATGAAGCATCGCAATATCGCAGCAGCACCTCTGCGCAATATCATAAAGCTGCTAAATAATGCTAAGATTGAACCCCTAAGCACTGAAGCTGCGATTTCTCGACTGGAAGGCACTCAATCTAATGATGAGTGGCGCGAAGAAGATGATCTCGTGGAGATTGCATTAACCAAGCTGGAAAGGGGTGGCCGATGCTCTCACATTCTTCTCAGTCGGTTTGAGAGCTTCTTGTATGGGCCATTTATGAGCCCCGAAGAGAGGAGGACGCAAGAGCGTATCATATGCATTGAAGAATGTCTGTCAAGTGCATCGGCCGAACCGACACCCAACCATAACGATATATTCTTCCATCGCCTAAGAAAAGTCATATCCCATCTTGATACCTATAACTTAGACGAGAAAGACTCACGCATCGCGTTCCTCCGAACCGAGCTCCTGACAGCCATAGCAGCCAAATCCAAGCTAGGTCGTGCGAACTGTAAGGAATTTGCAGAGCTTTTAGACCCTAATGGCATAGTCATTTCCCACTTGAACAGTCCAGGTGCCAAAGCAGAGACTCCAACCTCAACAAGGAAGGTGCCACCCAAGCCCGCCTCTCCACGCGTGCCTTCCTCGCAGACGCCAGAACCACCCTCGCAACCAACTTGTAAACAAAATACTGCCATCTCTCTGTCTCCTTCACCAACCCATCCTCCTCCTTTCCCATCCCGTTCTTCATCTTTATCATCTTTACTCACACCATCTCTGAAAACCATTGATCTGACTGGTGACACCATGTTTCATGTACCTGGTGCAAAGCGCCAGATCCGTCGTGTTACTGCGAGTCGGTCTTCACAGTCCAACAACACCGCGACATCTCCTTCAATGTCATCTGTGTCTTCTGTCACGCCAACTGCGGCCACGAAACGTCCTGCTCCTGGCATCCAGCCTGACGAGATCAGCACCTTGCCTACGAAGCGTGCTACTTCTGACCGCCAGTTGTCTACCTCCGATGACATCATTGCCTCGGCTAGTGAGATTTCTTCTTCCGGCACACAGCTGTCGCCCTTTAACTATAATATCGCCTCCACCCCTGAGAATGCTGCTTCTGGAGCGCCGTCGCTGAGCTCGAACAATGCTCCCTCCCATACAGGTGGTGCTTCTTCGGGCAGCCAATCACTCACCTCCGATATCCCGAAGCAACTCTGGGGCATTTTCCTTGATAAGCATAGTCCTTTACTGCCTGCTCTTGATCTAGACCAACTGAAGGTCGCCTTCAACATGGCTGTAAGCCACGACCAGCTCGGGCCCAACGTTATTGATCCGACCCTCGGGTTTTGTCTTGCAGTCGCGTGTCACCTCACTGGCGCAAAGACGCTCTGGCAAGGCCACAAATGGTAAGATGCCGCTGTTTCGACACTGATGGGCGAAGTCAATACCCTGTCATTTGAACACTTCTACCGACTGATCATCCAAATCGAGTTTGTCCACATAATTGGGGATGTTGGAATGAGCTGGCAATTGGTATCTCGGGCTATCGCCGACGCGGATGTTCTTAAGATGCACACGAAGTCTGGAGGATATCTCGCCATAGATGAAAAGTCGCAGCAGCAGGTTCGGATGATATGGCACTCGCTCTGGGTCAAGAAGATGTATTTGACCCTCCAGTCTGGGTTTATGGCGCAATCACTGAGTACCTTCTACGACCCACCTATGCCCCTTGATTCGCACATAAACCACACAATGCAATCATACCCAGACACGAGGTCGAGTTCCCCATGCGCGTTCTTTTTCGCTTGCACGACCCTCTTCATCAATACCCATGATCTTGTAACTGCAGAGAAGCACCTGCATGTCATGGTAGTACAATGCCCTTTCAAGTGGCTCCCGACTGCCGACTTTACCTCCTTTCACAGACTGGATGCTAGTTTGTCGTGCTGGTTCGCTCGTTTGCCCAAACTCATGCAGTGGAGGGGGGCCACTGTTGAATTCGCAATGCAAAGGGATGATACAATCCGCCGCCTAGCCCTCCTGGTCAACATACGATACATGTACTTTAGACTCCGACAGTACCGACCGTTTTTGATTCTGGCCTGGCGATTTTCTCACCCATGCGCCTGTGAGATGAATCATCATCTGACTAGCAAGGATTTGGACTCAGTGCAGTCGTCTCCTTTTCTTCCCATGGTGTATTCTGGTGCTATCAGATGTGTCAACACCGCTCAGGACATTTTGAAAACTCTCTATGTTTCCTATGAAAAACAGAAGGATGACGATGCTAAGTGCGAGCAACTAGACTATCTCTATGCTGTTGGCCTTGTTTTGATTGCGGCGATGCGCATGCGCTGTCTCATGAGTGGAGCCCAGTTGGGTGCATGTCGCACAGCCGCAGTCGCTGAATCGATGGCTAAGATGGAGAATGATTTCCTGAAGATTGACACCTTACTGCGCTACTACCAAGAAAATTGTGATCAGGCACCTCAGCTGAAGCAGCGAATCCAGCACTGCCGTGATACCCTTGCTCTCATTCGGCTGCAGTCCGTGTCTTCAGACGGAATCATTTCGGATCAAGACATCACCTTCCCCTACAATGCCTGGTGCTGCATCTATGACCGTCTTGACATTGACGTTCCATGCGAAAGGTTCTCTCGTGGAAATCCCGCCAATGGTAAGGTTCATGGCCGCAGGATGACCTTTGGTTGGCTAGAGAGTTTGCCTTTTGACCTGGACGGTCAAGGCGAATAGATAGTGATCTCGTTGTGTCTCAAAATTCTGACAGCAATGTAAGATTTAAGGGAGCATTGAAAGCTTTGGCTATTGAAATGTGTATGTAGTTGTCACGAATGAAATCTCCTTTTTTTTTTTGATAGCTTCATCTATATTATATATCTATGCGTGCCCATGATCATGGAAGTGGTTTCATGATCATTAACACTTTGTGAACAGGGTGTACCGGGTGTCAGATACAATAATCAAGGCTTTGTAAATTTTGCAAAGCACACCTTTGAAAGGGAGAAGAAAATAAATCTCTAGCACAAGGTGAGTTAGTAGAGCCAGAGTCTTTGAAGGATGATTATGGATATTAGAGTTGTGGAGGCAAAATACCAAGAGGTAAGCGAATAATTAAATAGAAAAGTCATCTCGGGCAGGAATCGAACTTCGACCATGTAAAATAGCTAGATGTCCAAATTAGGAAGGAGGTCCAAGAAGGTTCCCTTATATACTAGTTAGAAAGCTTCGTACCTGCCAACCCACCCCAGTTAGCTTGGTAGATTGGGGCCACCATAATCCTACTCTACTGTGCTGGATGCTTCGTCCTTTGCTTCGGTTGTTCGTTGCACCCTTCATAGGCACAGTGAGGCTGGAGGAGGTATCCTCACACCGCCTGGCATTACGGCGTTAGGGTCTCTGTCCTGGAGGGGGTGGCGGTCCTAAAGGGACAGGGTTCGTGGGTTGGCACCTCTTTTTTTTCATACATGTGATATTTATCTTATATGGCTTTGACCTCGGGATCTGTCAAGACTTATGTAATATACTATCTTGCTGCCTTTCCTTTCCCTGCAAACAACCTTGAAATATTTGAACACATCGTTGTCATTACTGGAGTACCGTGTAGTGTGCTCACCCCCAGATCACTATTCTTTGGTTACTTTCATGTTCCTTACATGAGGATCCACGTACACAACTAACATTGAAGGATGACCCCGGGGACCTTCCAGATTTGTAATCTCAAGAATGTCATCTTCACACTAATTTGTAAATTAACCTGATCTCCATCTAGTCCTTCACCCTTGTCATTGTTAGCTACAACATTTCCATCCTCACCTAGCTTTGATTCTTCACCGTGTCAACCGCTCCGTTCCTCATACGGCACAACCATTCCACCGCCGAGTGTAAGGTACCGGTCACCATCTATTATGAATCCGCGTCTATCATGAACCCTTTGACTCACTGGCGTGTCCATATCTACACGGTCTCAACGTCTAAAGCCGGCATCGCCTATCGTCATCTTCAATGTCGCGGTGATACCCTCAACACATCCTACACATCATCATTTCAACACTCGCCAAGAGACTGTCGGCATACTGTTGTGAGCAGCAAGAATATTTCTACGCTGCTGTACTCATTTCGACCGCTAGCCGGATAGTTCCACTTGTCGTGAATGGTACTCCATGAGGTATAGCCGCCATTGCCACCACGGCGAATTCTGTCACATCAATGACCGAAGATCCCAAACAAAGTGACATCGTTTTATTCAAATCAAGAAAGTCGTGGACAAGCACCAGGAATCAAACGACGTTCCATTTGAGAGACCCCAGACGACCGTTGCCCCGCTTCTGGAATTGTGGGTCGCGGATGCACCCGCGACCCACTTGGTTTGGGCTCGAGTGATCGACTGTCTCATCTCGCTATTACTTCCAAGTATAAGTTATATGAGGCTATGCTTGATGCGTTCTTGTTCTCATTGTCTATGATATAGAGAGTGATGTGGCCGGGCACAGAACTCCGACCTGTTCTCGTTTTTTACGAAAGTTCCAAGAATATTGTGGCTGCGCGCCAAAGCTTAAACGCCACGGTTGATCTTCTCGCCATCTATGCCGGACAGCGCCAATCGTTCGTACGTTATTTTTGACAATGACATCCACCTGATTCCATTCTATGGCAGCAAATGTATGATTAACTTGGCTGGAATGGGTGCTTGATGAGTGCTCCCTGTTCTCATGTTCTACGAAACTCGCAAGGATGTTTCCAGTGCGCACCAAAACTGAAATTGCCAATCGCATATCCCCGCGCCATATTAGCTGACCTTGTGAAATCTCCATCGAAGGTAGGGTCATTACTACCGCCTCTATGATATCGGACAATGATATCCGCCTCCCTCTGGTTATTTGGCAACAGTTATACGATGAACTGGGACTGAACGATCCTTTTGGTGGCTTTCCAAGAATTGTCCCCAGACTATCGTATGTCGTCAACCGACTTTCGGTTGGTTAGAAAGTGTTCCCGTTGACTTGGACAGCCAGGAAAAGCAGGCATCTGAACTTTCCACAGTGCTAGCTTTTATTTATGAAAGCCTTTCTCTTTGCTTTTTTAATTGTCAGTGACCCGTTCAAAGGTCGCAAGTGGACATTAAAGATCATCTCATTCGATTGATTTCAATTGAATACTTTTACTTTGTCCAGACTGATGCATCATAACCATTCATCAACGAAGTATACTCGGGACCGGCCGCAACCCATCCTTTAATGCCCCCTGAAAGAACCAAGCTCTTGACCTCTGTATCTTGTTGATCTTCGAGATGGTCTAAGAACCAGCCTGCAGCACGAGTACCCCGACCTGCAGATGACCCTGAACGGAAATCAGTATTCGCGTCTGAGGAAGGTGTTATCATATCCACAAAGTAAAACTCACCACAATACCAAATCACATATTTCGCGGTGCTATTCGACACCAGAGAATACAATGTTGGGATCGTGGGGTATAGACTCTGAGCTGGCAAGTTCAATGACCCTTGGATCGTTCCTCCCTTTATGTCGTCAGCGTCTGAAGGCGTCGCCCTTTTTGAGCCACCCATACCTCATAGTCTGTACGACGCAAGTCAACAAGGACAAAGTCTTTGCCTGCTTGTTTACCCTCTCGGATCCACTGCAATAGCTCTTCTCGCGATATTGAGGGTGCTGTACCCCTTGGCGCGGGATATGCAGCGTGCCATGGTAGTTCGGCCGACATGTTCTATACGACTTCCGAATTGACTAATTTGAGAAATTGAGAGACTTGACCTCAGAGTGTTGTTTCTCAGAATACCCCCAATACCCCGCGTGTGAGGAATGTCACTCGCGGATTCTGATTGGCCGAAACTTTTTTTGAATAGTTTAATTCTTCGGCCAATCAACGTTCGCCAGTGACATATCATTTGCCATTTTCATGCAATAAACAAAAATGGGAATATAAAATATGAAATCTCATCTGTTCTCTCCAGTATAGCCAGATCAACCATTAATCGAACAATTTCGATTATTTACAATGGTCTCCATACGGCAACAATCATGTTTACATGGCTTTTCCAACGCCCAAACAAAACCATGCGACATTGAAAAGCAACATGAAACCTCTTCTCCAGATGAACCATTAGAGAAAAAGTCGATGTTCTCAAGTCTCGGTCTCCTTGACCGATTTTTAGCATTATGGATTTTTCTCGCTATGGCAATTGGAATTATACTGGGCAACTTTGTCCCAAGCACAGGACCTGCCCTGCAAAGGGGAAAATTCGTCGGCGTATCTGTTCCCATAGGTACGTCCAAGCAAGTCCAAACACTTTCGTGCTCTTTACTGAATTATCTTCAGCCGTGGGTCTTCTCGTCATGATGTACCCCATCTTGTGCAAGATTCGCTTCGAATCCCTGCATCATATTTTCCGAGAGAAAGGCATTTGGGTTCAGATGGCCTTCAGTATTGTTCTGAATTGGATTATTGCCCCCTTCCTTATGGTTAGTTATTCGAACTCTTCCGTCGCGGAGTTTCTTACTGACTTGGTTTCATTAGCTGGCCTTGGCGTGGGCATTTTTGCCCGATGAACCAGAATTGCGACAGGGACTTATCGTTGTCGGGTTGGCACGATGCATTGCTATGGTAAGCCTATATCACCGAGTAAACTGCTCTTGGAAACAAGGTCATTCTAACCGTAGCTTCTAGGTACTGGTTTGGACAGGACTAGCCGGAGGCGATAACGAATATTGTGCCATCCTTGTCGCTCTCAACTCAGTGCTGCAAATGGTTCTTTTCGCTCCAATGGGGGTGTTCTTCATCAGCGTCATTAGCGGCGATCCAGTTACATTTGAATATTCAACAGCCGCTCAAAGTGTCGCCGTATTTCTCGGAATACCACTCGGCGCCGCAATCGTCACGCGTTTTGTCGTCCGACGCATCTCTGCCAAATGGTACGATGAAACCTTCCTGAAATGGCTGAGCCCATGGTCCCTCATCGGCCTGCTATTTACAATCCTTGTGCTATTCGCCTCACAAGGCCGCCACGTGGTCCAGCAAATCGTCTCCGTGGTTCGAGTTGCGGCTCCACTCATCGTTTATTTCCTGATTATCTTCTTCGCAACCCTCCTTGTCACATACAAATTAGGATTTGGCTACAAATTGGCCAGTGTCCAAAGCTTTACTGCTGCTAGCAACAATTTTGAATTGGCAATCGCTGTTGCGGTGGCGATGTTTGGCGCAGATAGCAACCAGGCTCTTGCTGCAACTGTTGGCCCTCTTATAGAGGTTCCTGTGCTATTGGGTCTGGTATATGCTGTTAAATGGATAGCTAGACGAGTTGGTTGGGATGATTGAGACTAAAATGTATATTAGATTAATAATTAATAGAAAGACAGCTGTCAATATCAATTTCAAGTCCCGCGATGTGCGGGGGTGTTTATTCCCGAGGTTAGTAGTGACATGCCACTTTCATCTGATTGGCGAGGCTTGTCTTCTCCATTTATATTTTATTTGAACGTCACATCAAATCTGTGGATTTGTGTTTGAATATCTTCAACTTCCTCTCTCTCTACAGTTAGCCAAAACCATTTGCTACGAGAATTCTACTACTATGCCTCGCCCCAAAACCAAGACCAAGGTCAGTTAGCTAGAAATAATCCCAGTGTTTTACTTTCGTATCTCATTCAATTCATATTCTATTCATTTAGAGCGAAGACCTCGCCCGAATTCGCAATAATCAACGGCGATCAAGAGCGAAACGAGTAGAATATATTCGAGAATTAGAACAAAAGGCAAAAAAATACGACGAACTAATCGCATCGCCATCTACGGCACCGTTATCAGCATTTGATAAATTACAATCCGAAAATGCTTGGATGAGAGGGTTACTGGCAACCCTAGGCTTCAACTTCAACTCTTTGGTTGCACCTACCGGAAGCCTCCACGACAGCGAACCTAGTATGGTATCGGCAGTAGGATTACCAATCAAACAATCATAGGCTTAAGATTCTAACTATTCCCAGGTTACGGGCTCGTTTGCTCACAGCGTGGAGACTCAACAGTCTATGGTGAATGCAACACCATTATCGTTTTGGGAACAATGGAATTCGTCCAGTCTACCACCTGATATGGGGTTGGATTTCAATATCCCATTATTATCAAGCGAGGCCAATCTGACCACTTTGAATCCTCTATCGGTAGAAGTGGCAGAACTGGCAAACCCGAATCCCGAGACTAGCCAGTGTCAGAGAATCCAGGAAGACACAGAAACAAGTGTCCCGAGCGACCTGAATACTACTCTGTGCTCTTTGGCTTGTCAATGGGTGATACAATGCAATACCAAAGGCGTGGAATTGGATGTCTTGTACTTTCGGATGGAGCATGGTTTCAAGCAAGGGAACAGTCCGATGGAGGGCTGTAGGGTGGATAATCAAGTGCTGCTTAAAGTTTTGACAGAGATATCTTGAGGTATGACTGTTTGATTTCAGCTAATATGTGACATTTCTACTGCTTAACTGCATAAATTTGAAACGAGCCTACATGGAAACCAGTCAGTGTTGGTTCAGCGATTGAAATATTATGAAACTCACCAGCCCATTCATTAAAGTCACATTCTAGCAAATCTTTTCCGTTCGCGTTCTTTGCTTGTGTCCCCCCACAGCACGAAGAAGATTCCAACTGGTCGCTCGTCTCTCCGAGGTCCATTTGTTCTTGAACCAAACCTTTGTAAACGTTGATGTCACTGTGCGTATCGACGATCAGGACACCTAAGAAGAAAAGTATGGTTAGCGAAACGCGCAAAACAGAATCACACTTCGAAGGGGTACCTTTGAACCCCGCCTCAGAGAGATACTTCTCATATTCATGAACTCGACTGGCCCCAGAAATGCACCCAACGTAGAATGATAGACTGTTCACCACTTCCTGGGGGAGCTCCTTTCGAGTTAGAATATCACTGATAACAAGACGACCTCCGGGTCCCAGCAGGCGGAACATCTCGTTGAACACAAGATGCTTGTCAACTGTAGGAACGAGGTTGATCACACAGTTGCTGATGATGCAGTCGGCAATGGCGTCTGGCAGAGGGATAGACGTGATAGATGCCTCGATGAAGGACGCGTTGGAGACACCCGCTGTCTCCGCATTTTTGCGAGCGAGCTTAAGCATGTTCTATATTTTGAGTTAACTAGGATGTCGGAAGTGAATGAGAGTGAGAGGCTCACCTTGGTCATGTCCACACCAATGGCTTTCCCATTGGGTCCGACTTCCTTGGCTGCTAACAGAACGTCGATGCCACCACCACTACCCAGATCAATTACTGTTTCGCCCTAGAGCAAAATTAGGCAGTCGCATAACAGGATCTGTTAGAGGTAGCACCCACCTCGCGTAAGTTGGCAAGGGCCACAGGATTCCCGCAGCTTACTCCGAGGTTTGCAGCTTGGGGGATTGAGCTCAGCTCTACAGCATCGTAGCCGAATGCTTGGGCGATATCTTGCTCGGTTTTCTGCTTGCTAGTAGAAGATCGATCAGCCAATTCACCATAACGATCTTGGAGACTATTATAGATTAAGTCAGAACCCATATTGAAAGATATTGGGAAAAACTATTTATCTGCAGTGAAGAGGAGCATGATTTATGTTTAAGTATGTCGCACGATGAGCTTCCCCGCGCAGATGTATGTAGCATGTCACCAATTTGGATTCTCATTAAGCACTATGTTCAATAAACACGGATGTTAGCATATTTCATTGGCTCTAGTGTTTCTGGCATGTCACTGCCAAGATGTGTTTGTGGTTGGTCCCAAGATATCTATCAAAATGACCTGTCCAAGATGAACACACTCGGCCAATAACTATTTTGATCCTTGATTCTGTATTACATTTGTCGTTCCGTATACGCATTTCCTCTAAGATATAAAAAGCGCTAAGGGTGCGATTAAGCTCATAATTAGGCTAATAATCAACTAGCGGCAAAACCACGGCAACATATCTAAATACAGAGCCTCAACTCAATTTCCTCGGCGTCGAGATGGAAAGGGAAGCTATTCTCCTTTGCACACGTCGGTGAGACCAAAATTCCATCTTTGCATCTATAGCCTCCAAAATGTTACTATTTCCCAGGTCCCTGGGCACCTTGTAAAGTCGCTCTCCAGTAATTTAGTAACATTCTCACTGATATAAAACATACAAAGGGTATTCTAACCATATAACTTTGTTCAAATCATTCAATTATTGGAGAGATGAGGTTGCGAATGTGCCTCAGTGAGGTTGTTATCGAGCGATTCATGCTGTGCTTTTTCCTCTTCGGCTGTGCGCTCAACTGGAATTGGAGCAGCGACCTCGCTCAAACTACCATAAGGATCATTCTCTGTATTGTCACTCACGGTAGTCGTTTGTGGCTTGCTTTCCTTTTTGGTATCTGAGGTTTTCTTGCGGCCACAAGTGAGTATTCGCTTGAGATTGGACAGTTTCATATTCTACCCAATAAAGAGACGCCCGGATTTGTATGATAAGATGAATTTCTATAGTCATTGTCTCCAAGACATATATTATTGTGGGTGGCCACTATACTACGTCATGACTATGAAGGGGATAAACATATTATCGGAGGTATTTCCGAGTTGCCTATAGGGTTAGTAGTAAAATGGAAATAACCTCAAGTTCATTCGGTTCATCGAAATAAAAATATAAGTAACTTAGCTCTAAAATATTTGTATGTTTTCTCGTTAGCCTATCACGGACCTAACGCGGTCTTTGTTCCTAACTCCGAAACTCACACGTTAAGACTTTCTCCCATCTTACCACTTCGTTCCCTCAACTACAGTGCTTTTCAAGATGACTTTCCAACTTGATAAACCGGCTGGGCCCCAGCAAATAAATACAGATAATTCAACGGAGATGTTAGATCCCGCAGCCCGAAGACGACTCCAAAATCGCCTCAATCAACGTGCGAGCAGTACGTGGAACTCCTATTCGCCATGCCCGACTTAGGCCCCATATGTTTAGGCTAATATTTTATGAAGGAAAAAGAAAGGCTTTACAGAATAAAAACCAACACAAAACGCCCGACAAAAAATGGGTGATCTATATTGAGGATTCAAACCTCCCAAAAAGAAATGCATCAACAAAAGAAACGACAAGCCATCAAGTTGTTAAATCATCATCACCTCCCCACCAAAACGAAGAACATGTATATTACACGAACAATACCCAGCAAAATGAATTCTGGAACAATCTCTATCAAAAAGCTTTACATATGATTCAGCACCGAGCACTCTCACGCAATCCGACCTTCTACGCCGCCCAATGCAATATAATCGGCGCCATGCTAATCAACGCCAATCTAATGGGTCTTACAATCGACCTTCTCCACGAAGACCTTGCGTCACAATTCAATCTGGTCGGTCCATCAACGCTCCACCTCCCACCAAGCCTGCATCCATCCCAGAAGCAACGGAAAATCATCCACCACCCCTGGATCGATTTGATCCCAGTGTTATCCCTACGGGAAGCTATCCTGGCTAGGACAGACGAAATCGACGAAGATGAACTCTGCTGCGACTTTTACGAGAGTGAGTTGGAAGAGGTCGGGCTTCGCGTTTGGGGCGAATCTTGGGATCCAGCTGCATATGAGGTTTCGGAGACTTTGCTCAGGAAATGGAGTTGGATTGTACGGGATTGTCCGGAGATAATTGAGTCTTCTAATTACTGGAGGAAACGACGGGGGGAGGAGCCTATCGTGTTTACAAGAAGTGATATCTCAACCTCTGTATAATGATATCTATTGAGCATGTTATGTGAGAGACGGTGAAGGAGGAGAGTGGTGAATTGATTAATCTATGGAGAAACTGGGTATGAATACCCATGTAAACATCAAACTATGTAGCAAATATCAAAGAAATATCTCACTCTGAACTGACAAACAGCGCAGCAAACAGCAGGGATGATTTCCCAACTATATCAATGTGCTTTCAACCGTATTACAGCGAAAACTTCTCTTTGGTCAGATCCTCGCTCAGGTCCCAGAGTTTAGTCCAGTTTCCTTCGTCCTTGAGGTGGGTGTGCAGTTCGTGGTCGGAGACTGCATTCTTGTTGAGGAAGGAGCCATTGTACTCTGGATACAGAAGTGATTAGCGACAAACTAAAAACAGGTTGGCTGTGTCCTACTAACCAGAGATGGTAGGGTCAATCATTCCCGTGATGACAGTAGCAGCTCCCTCCGAGGTAGTGGTCCACGGAGGAATATCCATTTGATTCCCATCCAGGTCGAACAAACCTGAATTGACCAATTAGCGAAAACAAAGCATTACCAAGATAACTGCACATACCAGCCTTCGTCCATTCCTCGACCTGGTCAAGGAATCCCGGAGGACAGTGTCGTTGCAGACCGGTTTGAACCGCTTAATATCGGTCAGCTAAGTCCACTGAATAGTAAGGAAGACATACCGCCGGGATCAACACTGAAAACACGGATCTTCTCGCTCTCCAACTTCTCGCCCAGTTTCTTTGCAAACATGACTCTCGCAGCGTTCGACTGTCCATATGCAACCATCGGATCATAGGTTTGACCATCCTGAACGAAATAGTCAGTGCTGTTATCCACAATCTGTACACCAAACTCACGCTGAAATTGTAGTCGTCGAAATGTATCTTCCCCTGTCTGGCCATGGACGATGCCATGATAACAACAGATGAATTCGGTCCCGCGGCGCGGACCTTCGGTAAGAGCAACTTCACCAGCAAGAAGTTTGCTAGATAGTTGACTCCGAGTTGGCTTTCAAATCCATCTTTCGTCTTGCTGTAGGGTGGGAACATTACGCCGGCTACGGTGACGAGGTGGTCGATGTGAGACACGTCTGCCAGCTCTTCGATGGCAGTTCGAACGGCGTTCAGGTCACTCAAGTCCATGTTAAGAAAGCGGGTTTCCACATTTGGATTGGCTGACTTGATCTTTTCTTGGATTCCTTGGACCTTCGATGCTGCACGGGCAGTTAGGATGAGTAGCTTTGGATCAGCGGCGGAAAGCTGAAGTGCAAGTTCGCCTGCGATGGAGTCGTCGGAAACACCGGTGATGAGCACTTCACAGGGTGTTTAGTTGGTGCTCTCCCTTCGGTAGATTATGGGAAGAAGATTGCAATACCTGTTTTTCCAGCAAGGGCCTTGCCATACTTCTCCAGAACGACCTCGGAGCGGAGGATTTGTTGATTGTTGGACATTTTGGACAAAGATGTTTGGAGATAAAGAACTAACTCAATGCAGAAGACTGAAGTGTTGATTGATGTCTTCTTCATTTCAGCGAGACACATCGTTCCCCTTTATATCTTCTCTTCTCGGTGATAATGGCCTTAGTGTATGAAGTGCATTGTGTGTATAGTTCGAAACGACCAACCAACATCAAGGAAAGTCCCCACTTCGAGCCGTATCAGGTTAGCCTACCGTCATCAAGTATCCAGGTCATCATGCAGTTTCAGTCAGTTTTGATGACTGATGAGAAGGTTATGGAAGACACTATGGATGCAGTTTCTGAATAATATCGGGGGTTTAAGATAGAATATCCATTAACTCCGATAAAGTGTGACTTGTGCATATAGGACTATGTCCAATATCAAAACATGTTCAAGTAAGACAATATGACCCGAGGTCGGGACGGAGAAGCACTTAGTAATACAACATAGACCTCCCGAGGTCGGAATAATACATTCTATGTAGATATTGGGTTCCTAATGAAGATGATTGAATATATGAGAGAATAACGGGCCAAGACATATGCATAAATCCGTCTGGTTGCACATGTACCCTTCATTGTGCTACTGGCGAAGGTTTGCTCTTTTTGGATATGGTCTTGGTTGAGCTGGGAGCATCACCCCGTATCAAGCATTCCTCGGGGGAATCTACAGATTGGTTTCCTTGATTTAATATTAAAGACTTCCCATTTGAACACAACACCAGCGAGACGATGGGGAGAGCAAGGTGCATGAACAAGCCGGGATAGCTGAATACTTAGTGCGTGTGGTCCTGCGAGGTCCGAAGGGACGCTTGCTGATAACAACCAGTATGTAACTAGGTAGCATGAGATCTGCCCAAATATAAACAGATACACCACAACCATAGCGCTGCTTTGACAGGATTTCATAACTCGATGTAACGGATTGACGGATGAAGCCTAGAGAGATTACGTCAAAAGTAGTGGTAAATATGATTATTAGATTCCAAGAGGCTAAACCAGAGCCACCAGCCCTATTGTCTACACGTATCTACTACAATGCGCCAAAATAAAAACAAGAAAGGTCATCACACATATCAGCGGACATGGAAGAAGCAGTACCCAAATCAGCCTGCTCTAGAACCACATGATGCCCGCAACTAGACCGATCACAACTGCCATGCAGCTACCATGGAGCTCGCGCGAGTGCCGACCAGCGGCAGCATCGGTAGAATCCTCAGCGCCAACTTTTTGTTGGGGTGCTTGCTCAGACGGAGTGAATGGGTCTTGATCTGCGACCGTATTGGAAATTGTGGGGTGTGGTATTAATGGTGCGGCTGCGATCTGCTCCGGGAGGAAGATCGATTTCGCATAAGCTGCTCCGTGGAGTCCGACCCGTTTGCCCATATCAATAGCGACATGGTAGGCCTGCTGACACATATCGCGGAGGGAGGCAGGACAGGGCAGCAGTGGGGACTGGATGCTGTCGGAATGATTATATGACGGGATGCTGGGAGATTCGTTGTCGGTTGGGAGAGTATCGTTGATGGTCGTGGTAGGATATGGATGTGTCGAGGGTGCAAGGCTGCGGTTGGAGAATGAGGTGAGGAATGGGTAGTCATCTAATTGTTGGATGAAGTAGGTTCTGAATGCGCGGGCTCTGCGGCCGAATGAAAATGAGGATTCGCGAGTTAGGGATGAAAGTCGACTTTTAGTTGTGACTGTCGATTCGCTGGCTGGGACCCCGGCATTTCCAACGCGTGCGGTAAATGGTGGGCGATTGCCTCGCGATCGATGTGATGGTGCGAGAACCCATGATTTGCGAGGTTCGTTGAGAGGATGTGATTTCGGTGTTAATTCGGCGACACTATCTTGCAGGAGAGGGACCTCTGGGCAGTCGGCTTGGTTAGCTTGATTTGAATGAGCTTGAGCTTGAGCTTGAGCTTGAGCTTGGCAGAAAGGTGGACATACGGGGAGCTGCACCAGTGTAGAAGCTAAAGTCGGCAAACTTGGAGTGGTAGAGATTCGGGAGTGATGGCACCAATGTGAGCAGCGAGAACACAATCAGGATGAGGAGTGGGAGAGCGCCAGGTTTATCAAAGCCAGACCGCATCATCCCTACTCCCTGACTCGGTCCAGGAGCTTCGAAAGGGTTGAGGTTCACGGTTCACGATCGAGGAGGAGCAACAATTTGAAGGCCATGGAGGGGATTAACCGTTTTCGCGTTTGAATGCACCGTTCCGTAGGATGCAGCGTTTCTGCGGAGTAACGCGACAACGCGCAGGGGGCTGGGTTAGATGTATTGAAGTGATCGGGCAAATGTGTAGGAAAGAGAAGAGAGAAAACTAAGTGGATTCAAGTGGATTTCAGATTCAAATTAGAATGATAAGGAGGTCAATTGCCTCTTTTTTCTTTCTTCGCACAGAGTTCCGAGTATGACGTCGATTACTAGATTCCTATAAAATTCAACTTCAACTTGAATTTGAAATTGATCTGATCTATATGAATTATTTTTATGTGAAGAATGTTTCCCCTCCATTCTGACAGTTTTGAAGTTTTTTTTTTTCCATTTTCCTATTCCAAGAATTCTGGCCTAAGGCATTAAGATTTGCATGACGATCATTCCCAAATAGGAAAACAAGATTCTGCCCTGTTTATTCCCTTGTTTACTCTGCTTATTCTGATTCTCCATAAATTCTATGAGAGTCGCTCAAGGCAACGATTCAATATTGATCGACGTCCACGTGCAACGCCCTGTTGATTTAACTTGTTGACTATGGTCCTAGTATTTATGTTGTACTTCGCATCTTCCTTCCCCTATTTCTATTCCGCGCGATTCCTTAGGAACTCAGAGATTTTTTAGTTATTTAAATATTTTCTACCTCTCAATCACTATTACGATATATCAATAGAATATTGTGAATGAAAGGAATCCGAAGGCACATTACCGAAAGGGGTTGTGACGAGGATCTAAAGTCCGAGTGGGCGGCCGCAAATACACTCGTGCATTCAAGTACTTTCCCCTACGAAGGAAAAAAGGAGAAAGAAAAATCCCTGCGTATTATCGCCCGCAGAATACCACAATGATGTCCGTGACATGGCTCGCTTGCATGTAATTATTATCAAAAACTATCATCGAAGTTTGAGGAACTGAGCCGCAAATTTGAACAGGGAGTTTCGGCTTGGCAAGCTGGCGGCGCTCAGGGTCTTTCCCCTTCAGAAAATTCCCGCCCTGGTCTATCTTAGCTCCTGCCCTAGGTGGCGATGAAGCTCAGCCTGCTAGGGCCGGCCAATTTGCCATCCGGAGGCGCCAACATTATTTTTATTTTTTTAGACTCGAAATACTTCGAGTTCAGTTTACATTATATCGGGGTTGTCTCTGCTTGAGAAAACTTTACTGCATTATTTTGTGCTGCGCTCGAATAGCCGGGTGATGATGATTTTACTGTGGGTGGCACAGATGTTTAGTGGTCATAAAGTCCCAGCTGCAACCGAGTATTTAACTACGTTTCTCCCCCTAGGGAACTTGTGCCTGTTGTTCCACTATAGTGGGCTAAGTAGCGTAACCCTAGCGAAGTAGACTCTTCTACGCCGGTTGTGGACCATCCGACCTGGTTCGATAGACCAAGGAGTTCCACCCAACATCTAGTGACACCTCGTAGATAGGAATTCTGATGACTATCGATAGCTTTGATTACTGACAACCGGGTGTTGCATGAAGCTTTGACAAACTTAAACGCCATGAACAACCTTGGAATACGTTTCATCTCTGATTCCAGTGATTCTGCCCCGGTGACCCATGTCAATTGAAGTATAAAAGCAGACCATCTACTCATACCAATATAGGAAGCCTCGGCTACTGTTGCGAGCTAGATACTTCTATAGAAGCAGGGCAGCATCTACGTAGTTTTGTTGAGCTGCATGACCTGTGATCTGGGCTTCAATTTCAAGTAAATCCCAGCTGCGAAAAACTGGACTTAGTTGGCTATGAACCAGGGTGATAGTTTCAGGGTTATGGGCTGACATTAGTATATAAAACTCCATGTTATTAAGGCTTGATTTCAATCACATATCACTCTTCTCACCCAAGCATCCTGTGCAAACTTCATCCTATTTCCGCATGGTATGTCACTTTTTACAGATATACATCTACCCTTTCCGGCATTCGCCCCATCTTCATCTCGTATATCGAAATTCAAATCAACTGATAGGATCTCAGCCTCACACAGTATCAGGGGCTACCAGTAGCGGAAAGGTACTACAATCGTACTATTAAAAGCACTAGTTCAGCGACAGATACATGCATACTAGGGCAGCTGGGCATCATGAACAACTCAAGAATACACAATCCTGAGGTTATTCGCACTACCTGAATAGGAAAGTTCAGGGCTTCGCCGGAGATGAAGTTGTATAGTGGGTCTCGACTATTTTCTCGTGTGCTTCGCGTTAACGTTATGTGGTGTATAGATCCGACTTTCACAGCTATCTCGAGGCAAAGCTGATAAGAAAGTGTGGGGTAACTCTGGAACTCCCAGCCAATCTACTTTTATATAATTAAAGAGGTACAACACTGCATTAATGATCGATGTGTCTTATAGTTTGATAATAAGCGACTTCAATTTGGCGCTAGGAAGTAAAAAATACGAGTACAAACATGGATAGGGAAAAACAAGGGAAATCATTGAGAGTTTATGTCTTGTCTCGGGACCGATCTCTGAATGGAATGTTCTCTCGGCCAGCTGGGACCGAAACCTTGCGGAGCTCATTTGTGCGAATCAGTGATGGTCCGATGACAGGAAGGATTGCGTCTAGTTCTACGCTTGACGAGAACCGTGCATATGCCTCCCAAGACATACGCAGAAAGATTCCCACAGATGCATTGGCCTCATAGGCATCTGTGATTTTGACTTTGAACTTGGCCGGCAGATTTTCAACAACTTTCTCGAAGTCTTTGACAACCAGCTTCGGGTTTCCTTCAAGAACGAGTAGAATAAGGACGTGATTTTCGTGGTTGGAGGGAAGTTGTGACGGTGGGCGGGAATGTAAAGCATTGCCCAGGCTTGAACTTGACACACGACCAGATGACAAAATTCCTGATGAAGGAGGAGTTGAAGTAGACGTAACGTGGAATGGTAAGACAATAGGATTCTCCCCACTATGACTCCAAAATCCTGGCATGTAGCAGCCACGAGGAGTGTCATTCTGTACCGCATCGAAAATTTCATCTGTCGAGACAGATATCTTGCCAGAGTGAGAAAGCTTTCGCATAGCTTGCACAAGACGCTGCGTGAAGGATATTCCATTTACCCGGGATCTCGCAGACGCTGAAGAACTACAAGCCGCTAAGACATGCGTTGTCATCGGGTTATTCACGGTAGCAGTACCGGAGTAACAACAGTCTAGGATACACAAGGTATTCATAGTATAAGGGTGGTAAATCAGTTCACTTTCGATGCTGCGCCATGGAATAGATTTTTTCTTCTTGGTCGCGGTAAAAGAAAGTTGGTTGTTCTGATTGATCGTGCCGTGACCAGCGTAAAAAAAAATGAAGAGTGTTGGTCTGTGAATGCGGTGTTTGGATACAACTTCTTGGTGCAGGCGATCTCCCAAATCCCAGCCTGGGGTAGGGTTTTCGTGGTTCATGATATATGTTTGGGTGGCAACTCCGAAAATGTCGGCCATCATATGGGAAAAGGTTTCTCCATCTTCAGCAGCACGGGTGTTATCATCATCCCAATAACAAACGAAGGCTGTGATTTGGGAGTATGTATTGCCTCTCGCCTTAACCGCCCTTTCCAGGGCAGATTTTAGTTCAGGAAGAGGAATCCTTTTAGTGCTGATCCTTCTCGGAATTTTGGATGGAGATTTTGGGGGTACAGGTGAAGTTGCAGTGTTTGGTGAGGTAGGAGGTTTAGACTCTGAAGATTCCATAGTCGAATAGAACTTGAGGCAGAGATGTTTGCTGAAGTTCAAGGCAGAGATGTTTGTGAAAAGGAAAGAAAAGAAAGAAATTCAGACCTGGGAATTTATTATATAGAGGTAGGACAGGGTATGACGAACCATAGTAGAATCAAAACTACTATGCCTATTCTAGCAATCCTTATTGTGAGAACCATGGAACCTCATCCGATCCGGGGTCCAGTGTCGCGTACCTGTTGAACTCTCACGTGAAGGACAAGGGGTTCATCAGCTCATATTAAAACATTCACGCAACCTCATTAAATCATAATCATGCACATTTCTCTCCCTATTAAATGGGATTCATCATAGAAGCATCAGGAACAGCCGGACGGCTAACCCCAACCTGGGCCCCAGAAACCGGCGTAGATTTCGTGACCGGCACTGGCGACACGGTAGTAGGCACACTAGTGTCAAGATGACTAGGCGCGAGACTACTGCGACTGCGTGAGCGACCAGCGCGGGAGACACTGCTCCCGGTGCCGGTACTGGACCCAGCCTTCCCGCCACGTTTGACCATCTTCCCTAGCACACTGACGATCTCTGCGGCGTCTTCGAAGCTCTCGTCGTCCATGCCTTCTTGGGCATTGTAGACATCTGCGATGGCCTGTTTTGCAAGACGACGGCATGCAATAGGGTCTTGGAGGCAGTCGTATAGATACGCTGCGTATTCAAGCTTGACCGATAAACGGAGAGGATGTGAGCCTGGTAGGAGTTTGTCGGAGAGGGCTGCTGCGTGGTTGAAACAAGCTGTTGCTGTGGCCGTGTAGTCTAGCGGGGGGAGGAGGAATGTGGAGACTGGCTGGGGTGGCTGAACTGGTTGCATTACTGGTAGACCCGGGGGTCTGGATGTTGGTATTTCTGCGCTATCCACTTTGGACTTATAGTCTGAGCCGCCGAGGGTGGTTAGGGTGTCTGCGCCGTATATAGAGTCATGTTTGGAGCGGGTTGGCATGTCCGCGTCAGGGGTGAAAACGGGACGATTGTGGAATAGAACGAAAATATGGTAGAAGGAAGCGCGGAGCTTGTAGGAGAGCACTTTTAGCTCGACAGATCTGTCTACCATGGGAAGGACGTAACCCTCCAGTATTAGTAGGCCTTCGCGAGAGAGCCATATGATGTGATGGTACAGCTGGAGGGATCTTGTTTCACGTGTTGTGTCGAGGCGCCGTAGCTTGCGGGCTCTAAGAAGCTTTTTTGATAGCATGACGGAAACACCGAGGATTTTGTATAGCATTGCCGAGAGCAGGGGGTTTTCGAGGCCCATGACGGCCGCGAAGTTGCCCAGGGCCTTCTGGTCAACTTCGGAGGAGGCCATCCACAAAGCCCAGGACCCGGAAATTGGGGAGTCTGGGTTTATGGAATCAGCTATATTGGCCATTGGTCTCGAACAACAGGCGGGAGGGTGTTCGGAGAAGGCCAATTGACGGAAAGAAAACTCAATTGGGATGCCCAACAGGCAAGGGTATAGGCGAAGAGAGTTCGGACTCACCGAAAAGTGCGCAAACAGAATTTCACAAAACCAAACGCAGCGACTGAATCATGCTCCAACCAGGCGCGTATCCCCAGGCTGCGGACCAATTGACTCGCGAAATCAAGATCTTGGCGCACAAAAAGCTCAGACTGTTCCAGCGACGCGCCGAATCGAAAATAGAAAATGCACAGAATATCCGAAGCCAAGAATAGCAAGGTGCGCGCAAGCTGCAAGGTTCAGCGGAACCCGAGGGGGCGGCGATTGTTCAGGCCGCGGAGTATATCACAGCCAATAGCTTTCGTTCCTAGCGCGGGTATCAAATCCAATTAAGATAGAGTATATAACGTTCGAATTGTAATCACACGGAACAATGTTGTCCGTCAATTCAATATTGCCTGATTCGGTCTAGCGACGGCTGAGTTCCGAATGGTGTTCTCGTATCGCTGGAAATTCGGCTAACGCAAGGAGCAGACAAGGTAGCAGAGCACGCTGAATCGCAAGTAAACTGGACGCATCGTGTGGCCGGCAAAGTAGGGGATATAGTTGTGCGCAATGCGAATGTTTTTGCCAGCGAACACTGTGCGGGGAAGAAGTTGGGGGCTCTCGGGTATGAAGCTAGCTCGGGGGCTCGAGCTCGGGGTGTTTGAAATTGAAAGAGAGGTGTTGGGCCCGTAGGAAGGCAAAGCCCATGGATAAAAAGGAGAATAAGAAAAGAGATTTTCCTGCAAGGTCTGGGAGATTTGAGGTGATATGTGTACTGTATAGTAAGTTACTAGTCCGTCTTGGTCCCACAACAGATACGAAATAGATAGTCTAATATGAACTAATACAATTGAGATAGGAACTCAACTCACCTTAGGCTAATATATTGAATGGTGTGTGTACGATATTCCAGGTGTTCAACAAACTGTAATGACGGGATTTGCTACGTGGCGGCTCAAGGCGAGAAAGAAAGGCGTCACCAATTGGGAGATGATTTGATGCCTGTCGGATCATCCCCAACTAAATAGATGCCCAAGTCCCCGGGAGGGCACGGACTGCCACGCTGGCAGTGGCTGTGTATTGGTATGGAATTGTGTTCATTGCCATTGACGTATTGTGTGCTTCCTTCATCCAAGTTGTTACACCGCTACAATGATGCTACCAATTAGACAAGTCCATTGTATACATAATTCAATGTATAATATTCAGAAAAACTTGGTTTTTTGCTTTTTTTGTACGTTATGTCTTTTATTCCAATCTCATGTTCCCATAGTCTAGAATGAACATCTTGTGAATCCACAAGTCTCCACTGTATAAGCCTGAGATCCAAGCTACTATGTATCGTACATGCAAAAAGTATCTGCTATTAACCCTATTCATTCAGGTCAACTTCGAATCCAACAAACGCTCGCCTCAAGAAAGCCCGCCATACATCATTTGGCTTCTTTCTCTTTTTCTTGGACTCAGTCGCTGGGTTATTGACAATGTCCGTCTGTTTTTCTTCTCCATCTTGGGCAATTCTGGCCGCAAGTTGGAAGAAGCTGCGGACCGTCAGGTCTTTCATTCGATACACATCATCATTGGTGGTGTACTCGATCTCGTAGTGGACACGAGGATTCTTGCTTTCCTCGGCCGCGATCTGTTCGTGGATTTTTGTTAGGTTGGAGTAATATTGAGTGTAGCTAAGCAACGTGAACGCCTGGTTCGAGTATGCAGGGCCAGGAGGAGCGGTTGACGATGGAGGCTCGGGGACTTTGAACTTGGGTTTCTTTTTCTTGTCCTCTTTCTTCTGGATTTCGGGACTTATTAAAGAATCGTCCCTGAGTTCCGGCGTATCAATCGCATCGTGGTCGTGCCCGAATGTTGTATCGTCAACCTCACGGGGGGACAAATCCACCCCATGTGCAAAATCGTTCAGTCCCGTGATATTGTAGTCGACCACGCGCAGGCTGGGGAAGAAGTTCGGAACCAAGCTGGGAGCTACTAGTGATACACTGTATCGCTCTGCCCACGGCCCTCCAATCTTGTCCAAGAATTTTTGCTTCTTCTTATCCTTCTTTTTACCCCTCTTGTCTTTCGCCAATTTAATTTCGGAGAGATCTCCGAAATTCGACGCGGAGTCAAGCTCCTCGAAAGTGCCCGAGGGAGGAGATGGCAATGACGACCATTGGTTTCGGAGCGACTCGAGGTAGTCGGTTTTTGACCTGATTGAAACCTTCCCGTCGGCTTGCGAATCAATGTTGACCTTGTTGCTGTCCTGGAGCATGAAGTGGTCGATGTTCATATGGCCGTAGAAGCTACCGACAACAATGTCACGATACTGGTGCATCCAGAGTGTATATTTTTGCCAGCATGTCTCATCCCAGTTCTTTTTCTCGCTCGACCGGGCGGGGGGAACATGACCCATGAGGATGGCTTTCATGTTGCGACTGCGTAGGATTTTCAACTGCACTCGCAACCACTCCATGTGTTCATATCCTGGTTCCGACTTGGCGTTGCATCCATCCACCGCACTGTTGGAATCGAAGAAGTACATGGTGTTCAGGCTGATGACCGCTAGCCGACCGGGGACGACCTCCGTGGTGAACCAACCGCCCTCAACGAAGGTATGACGCTGATCTTCTGGAATAAAGTCGCCCCATATCTCCGCAAAGCGCTTTGTCCACTTGTTCGGGCCCTCGTTGAAGATGTTGTGGGGCATAATATCGTTGTTACCGAAAGTCGGGATCACAGGGATCGACATCCTGGGGACGGCATTCGAGGTTTGCAAAACTTCCTCCTCCCCGAAAATGCTAATCCATTTTTGTGACAGGAATGCATTCAAATCCATAATCTCGTCCGCTGTGCGAGGGAGCTTTTCGTCATTATCGTGTCGGGCAGAATCCCCGGTCCAAATCACAAAATCAATCTCATCTTTCAAGTTTTCTTCGATCCAGCGAAATGTTTCGTTCACGAGTGATAAGGGTGCATCGCAATCTGTGCCCTCAGCTCCAAAATACCCCGCGGGGCCGTTACCACGGTGGCACGAGCGATCGATCGAGGTTCCGGGGTTATAGAGACGGTCGGGATGGAAATCTGTTGGTCAGCATAGAGTTACACAACAGAGACTTGGACATAGAGAAATTCACCAGTTATGTGCAAGAATCGTCCGCGTACAGGTTTGCGCAAACCCTCCGCCAGACCCGTTGAGATATGGCCTAACGGCTGTTGCTCCAAGGGGCTGGCGGAGATTGCATCGGCAAAGAGGCCCAGCAGCAAGAAAATTGACTGCATGAGTCCTCTAAACCAAGTCCAAGAGAAGAAAGTGGAGGAGAATATTTTGGGCAAAGGGGGATCTTATCTGCACGGTCACGTCACTAGGCGGGTGCGGCAGCCGAACTCCAACTCCAAGACCAATCAGAGTCAAATTTGGAGATGAACAGTTTATGATCTGACCTGTAACTTATATAAATGATTGAAAGTCGGATATCGTGCTCACAAATGACTGAATCTACTGACCTTTGAGTACCTTGGAGGCTCATCTGATTTAAGCTACTTAACAATAGCGCTGAACCTTGCAACCCACTAGGTTCTCAATGGTGTAAGAACCAGCCTTGATGCTCGATCAATGAACATTCCTGTCCAAGGTCAGAAGATCCTTCAAATACCTTGGGCGGGATTTGAACGGCATGGTCGGCCATACGTAGCGGCATAGATGCCCAGCTGACCATTTCAGACAAACCCTGGTGCCTTAATGCCTGATTGTGGCCTTTCGGCCTGAATCAAAACCAGCACAAGAATTTAAAATATCCAAACAAGAGCCTCAACCTTGTAACTTCTGAACCTCAAGAAATAGAGATTCGGTATCTAGCGCCTGTGCCGCTATATATCCCGATATTATCATGGAGTGTAGTCAAACAGATGCCACATACAGACCGGCTACTCTTGGCTAGTTGTTAGCTAACTCCCTGTATCTTTGGCCGAAGCCTGAATATAATGTTCCTGGGAGTTATCCTTAGTGTGTGTGAGAGAGAGTAGCTACAGTGGAATGTAGATACTCTGGAAAAGATTTTTGGGACGCGTGAAGAAAGAAGAACCTTGGAAGCTGTCTACAGATGACTAGACTAGATGCTGTCCGCGAAGATAGGAGCAGGTCGTCATACTAATCCAAGGATATCCAGTTCAACAAGTGGGTGACTATAAACATGCAACGTTAATCGTAAGCCAGGTAAATTAGCGTGAGTGCGGCGAGAGTCTTATCCAGACCGCATGCATCAGCTAGGATATCGCTGTAGCTTCTAGATCATCTAGAGCTGAGCGATACTGTTCGCTAGTTTCCGAGTCTTTGTTAGTAACTCTTGGCTTAGATTTATAAGTCAGGGTAGTCTCGTACTCCTCAAGAAGCTCCTTATTGCGGGATCGCTTTCCCGATGACCGGGGAACTCTAGTACTTGTAAAGTCTAGAGGAAGCATCCCACAATTTACACATCAATTTCCTGTATCAGGATATGTTGATCTTGGCCACTGCATGGTCTCGTGTTCTAGATACAAAAGGTATTAGCAAAATCCCCGATTCCAGGCCCTGCCAAGCAATGGTTGATTTGACATACATCAGCGTGAAAGTGGCTTGAAAGCTGGTCTCCTCGCCCATAACAGCTTCGACATATGGGCTGTCGATATTCCTCTTCGAGTCTATAAAAATTCATCGAGTCAGTCATTATATCCAGCATGACCTCGAAACTTTACTTATAAAATCTTTCGACATACCTCAAAGCTAAATTTTGCCACTATAGAAAAAAAGGGTTAGTATTGTGAGCCCCAATATATGAGATGATATAAAATGAGGAGACATACCGCTGATCGTTGCTCTTCCGCCCTATAGGGCAGCGTGGACTGAATCCGTGGTTATCATAATATCGCCAATAATGTCAACGTCGATTGCTTGTATGTGTAAGTATGTTACTAGGTCTAAATTCGTGTTGTTATTATTATTGTTCTCGCTCACGGTATGGTCGGGATTTCTGGATATAACAAGGCATCAGCAAGCGTCCGTGTTCCAAGCACGCTCAGACAAGGTTTGCTTTAACTTACATAAACTCCAGACTTGCTTTGGAATGGACTGCCTTACCGAGGACAGCCCTCACATAGGGGCTGTCCACGAGAGTGGCAGTTGCAGCTACAACCGGATAAAATCCGGGAGCGCTTTGCATGTTGGCACGCGTGCCAGGCTGTTGCAGATAGGCACACTGTCAGAAGAATGAGGGTCACGCGGTCTGAGGGATACTTTGTGGCTTACTACGGCGATGAATCCTTCGAAATGCTCCGTTCCCGCTATAGAATGCCGGAATTGTCAGTAATCCAGTGGTATCTTTAAGCTAGGTTCTCCAAGGGGTAACATACCAGCCTCCAATAACCCACGGACATTTGCCTGTATATTATCACTGTCAGTGCCATTTTTGATTCAGATTCCCTTGATGTAAAACATGCACCCACAGGCAAAATGCTGGAGCGAGAAGCGTAGAAGACATGTTTAATGAGTATGGAAAATTGGAAAAGTCAAAAGATGGCTGAAATACAGAAAATGAAAAGGGAGTTATAGAAGGAAGAGAATCTGAAGAGGAAGGGAAGAGAAGAAAAAACAGAGGGAAGAAGGTAGAGAAGGTACGCATCACCAGCGCGCAATCAGGCGTCTATATACTCCTTCATCGAGATTTCTCTCACTTTTGTCATCGGTCTATAATGCCTAAGTGATCAGGTGGGCATATTCCTTACACAGACTTAGTTGGTAAATGTTTTTAGCATATCTGAATAAAAAGTGAACTGTTAGCATGAAAGACAGGTAGGGCTACTCACATCAACCATAATGCCCGTAACAGATCCTACCATATAGCCATGGGTATTATTGGAAACCATTTAAACCCATGGTTCGCCTGATTGAACAGGTACGTGAGGTATATATTAAAGAAAATTGAGAGATGGCTGACTTCAAACTAAGGGATAGTTGAGTGATTTTAAGCCTGGATAGGGTGAGTTTATAAGTCATTAGGATAGTGTAGTTGATACTGGACGTAGGTAGTATATGTATGCCAAAGTAAAAATGATCTAGGGGTGAACAAGATTTGCAAGATAGAGAGCACTCAGGCCATAATCACATACGTATACCATTATAAAGACTAAGCATAGGATAATCATTGGGCTATCAAAAATATATAAATAATGTGACTAGCGTGGTGGTCACTTGATGCTAGGGTTTCCTGGTCGGACCCGAAAAGCGCCTAGAGATGGATAATCTATATCCGATCTGTTAGTGACATTTATAATTCACATTCCCTTGATATGGAATACGCAACCACAGACAAAGTGCTAGTGTTGAGCGAGGCGGAGACAAGTTTAGTCAGTAGATACATGGGTACAAAGAAGAGTGAAACATAAGAGAGAAGAGAAGTAGAGAAAATGAAAGACGGTAATGAAAGAAAGCAAAAGAGAAGGTCCACATCCCCAACACGTAGAAGAGGAGGAGGGTTAGTGGGTAAATGCCTCCGTCGGTGTTTAAATCTATGGGCCCCTTGATGGGGTGCTAATAGCCGGGAGTGATATTGTGGCAGATGGTCAGGAAGATGAGAAGTGTAGGACAGAGGGCAATTGACGGGCGGCATGATGACATTGTCGTTGTCCTTGACTCCTTGTAGTAAAGCCTGTGGTAATACAGCAGATTGTCAATACGAGGGCTGTTCGCCAGTCTATTGTGCCACTCTGTTTAAGGTTGAGATGTCATAGGGACACTTGTTGCCGTCGTTGAAGTTGGACATGCGTTTGCGATCGGGGATTCCTGCGTCGTGGTGACATATAGTTTGTACGGAACCGTCAGTCCTTAGGAGACAGAATAGACTCTAGCGAAGGAACATGGTAGCATTGTCGAATGCGGCTCACGGTACACAGTGGAAGCAGGCCCGAAAGCAAAAGGGGGTGACCAGCAAACTCTCCAAGATAGAGAGTACTTGCAGCCATGAAGCCATCTATATAGCCAGGTTTATGCCACAAAGAGAGGGCTAGCAAATGGAAAGTCAACAAAGAACGCATAACCGGACAAAGGGATAGCAATCTGCATTAGCAAGCAGTGGTCATGGCACGTTCTAGCATTCTGATCAAGCGACAAACAATCAAGCATGTGGGACCATTGGTGTAGCAATAACCACCGTTGTAGCTTTAGTGGAGCGACAGACCCTGCGTGTACCACTCCTGCCCGACCCCAGAAGCCAGGAAATGGAGACTCACCAGGGAAAGGGGGAAATTCACGCTAATGGAGGTACATCAAGGGTAAATACTGCACAGATCCAGGGAATGACTGGCCTGGCTTTGTTATGGTATCCAATTGGTCATTTGGTGTGTTGGCAATATAGAAGCAAGCAAGGCGCAAGCAACTTGGCCTCTTATTGAAGGGGACGCTGTGATGGCCGATGAATCGCAACACATCCTCACGTAGCATACTGGGGCTATGCGAGTGCTGGTATTTCGCCGACCTATATCGTAGCGCAATCTCGATGGTTCCTTCTTTTCCTCCTAAATGGTCATTAGTTTGGTGGTATGCTCCGGAGAAAGCATTTGAATATTGAAAGCACTAGCTTCCAATTGCTGTCACCGATGTTCACTAGGGAGCTCCAAGATAATTAGCTATACACCAAAGCGGGAGCCTTGAATTTGTAAACTCTGTGCTATGCCATCTAGTCCTTTATCTGCCTTCTGTCCTGTTCTGAGTATGGAAGGGGAGGTTCAGCATCAAGTCGTAATGTACTTGCTTAGTTGTAATCGCACACGCTAATGCGGATGTCTCTTGGGAAAGGCTGCATTCACCCGTATCACTGAAGTCCCTGCCAGCTTGTCTAGCTACCGTAAGCTTTGGCCTGAATAGAGAATGGTGTTCGAACGTGGCAAAGTGGAGGGGAGGACGCATATGATTTGGTGGTCTGTTGAGGATGTTGCCGAGCGCTGCATGCGCATTTGCAAGCGGCAATTTTTGGTGTAGCCTTGTTTGGGGATCACTGTTGAAGCTCTGCATGGTTAGGATGGGAAGACAAAGTCAGTCCGGGGGAGGGAGATAGGGACAGAGAGAATCAGTGGAGAGTCGCAGAGAGAAAAGGGTCAGTGCGTATGGGGTTTGAACTGTGGAGGTGGAGCTTCGCTGATCCTGGGGAATCAGAGAGACATGGATTCTCTTCAATCAGGAGTATCTCTCACTGGACCGCTGACTCTACTGATATATGTAATGACCAAACGTTCCAAGAGGGATGCGGGGAAATAACGCCCAGACTTTACTGGGTCTATAAGAGAGTTGATAACAATCTGTGACCACAGCCGATTGGAGGGTTGGTTGTCAGTCATCCCTGGCAGATCCTTCTGATTATTGAAACCGGTTATAGATCGTACGGAGTAGAACACTAGTAGGTCCGTGTTGGTTTAGTGTTAAGCCCATCAGCCCATCCTTGTTCGATATAACAGAGTTAGTCTCAATTTAAGATAGCGAGAAAAGCGAACAACGTGGAGATTTGAGAGTTTGTGGTCGACCTGTAAGCCCTGTGTATATACGCCTCGCCCCATAACGCTATGGTAATGTCTAGCGAGGCTTGAGTTTATGGTTTACTCCGTACGGGGTACGGAGTATACGGCTAGATCAACCGGCTACGGAGTAGGACGACTTCTCCGGGATCTAATACGAGGTCGGTAGTCCGTACGGAGACGGCAGTATTAACGATTTCCAGATGATCTAAATGGGTTAAGTTCACACAGTAAAGACATGCCACATTGACCCTTGACTCATCCTCATCTGACATGAGGAGACCTATCGCCTAACCCAAATGTAATCAAGTATATTCATGATAAGCTACCAAAATAGAAAATACACATGTCCATTCTCACGGAAAATGTAAATTTATGCCAAGATCATAAAGTGATGGTCTCCGACAGTTCGAAAAAAAGGACCGAGGCCCGCTGTTTCCCGAGGACTGTCGGGCTCGTTAGCTTGTTTTCGTCCGAGTGGACCGACCCCAGGGACCCCAGGTTTACCCACCCGTGGGGTTTTCTTCTCTAGTCCGACGTCTTTCGATGTCCGCTTGAAGATTTTTGGTATTTTCTCCCGACAAATGGTTGGCAAATTGGTCGCCTACAAATTCCCCAGCCTCCGGGCACATACCCCCTTTTGACTATTACAGCCCAGCTGCCAAGACATCACGGGTGCCCCCGAGAAATTACTTGCTGGGGAGTTCTCCGTCCGGAGATGTGACTGGCTAGAATAACCCTAGACCCATATTGAGCATGTCTCACGACCCATCTCCGTGGCCATCTCCGTTTCGGAAGTGTCGCCTTCATTATTTTTTTAGTTCGGCCCGGACCTATGATATTTCTCATCTTCGGTCCAACCGCCGTTGGAATGACATCCTGTCAAGCGAGTTTAGATCCATCTGGTTTGAATTGATGTTCATGCAAACCTAACCCAACGCACGGTCTTGGATGCAGTGGAAATTCCGGGGAATCCATGGATGTTTCATGGGGGATTCGGGCCGAAGTTTAATGAAGCGTAATGGAAGGAATTGCACATTTCCACCTTAATCTAACTGGGCAAGCTAGAGCAGCAGCTAAAAAAAAAGTGGTCTTGTTGACCTTAAACAGCCTAGTGGATTGTGGGGGAAGGAGAATCCGTGAGGAATCCAACACGGAGAATCCTCCGTACTGACAATGGGCTCCGTGCAACGTTTACAGCTTGTTCTTCCTGTCAGACAGAGGAATTGAGTATGGAATTACTGAGAGCCTCATGCGAATGGTCATTCTAGGGATAAGCAACTTTAGATGGCAAAAACATGTCCTGTTTTCGAGAACAAAACCAAGTTCATGATAATAGGCGTGTCCGTGTCAAATACGGAGTATATTATACGGAGTGCATTAAACAGCCTTGTGATGCACATGTGAATATGTACCTAACATTAGTCTAATAGTTAGTTAGTTGATTAGCATTGCAGTGAGAATTGGCCTAGAATTCTAGGCTCTCGAGGCTCCTTCGCTCCTTATCCTTGCATTGAGACTAGCCAAATACATTCGAAAAGGGGCTATCTGGCCCCAACTGTTTTGACGTTTCGAACCAACTAGTTTAACGGGATACAGGGCCGGCTATCCAGGTATCAGACCCTAATTTCTTTCAATGCGTGAATCAAAATATGGCGATTTCGGTGGGGGGCAAAATGGTATGATTGGGGAATGTCCCGGTTCCAATAAGGACGCGGAGCTATTTGGAAAAGCCACCAACTAGAGGCGCCTATTACTGGCGAAAACAAGGGGTTCCGGGGTCACAAGGGAAAATGGAGTCTGGGGAACCGGAGAGTCGACTCATTTCCTAAAATGGATTATACTCTTTTTTCTTAATTGTTCGATCTGACATTCCAACATATAAAGAACCTCCTGCCCCGCTGTTCATGAATTTCACGATTCATCGCGCCAGTCCCGTTTATCACTCGGATCATTTACCGAGATCGTCGATTCCAATACTCGCGGGATCACATCATGTCGGACGATAAGAACGCCAAAGAGGAGGTCTACGGTATCTCCTCTGCCGTTGAAGATCGTTCCAATAGTGTTGGCGGTGCCAAGCAGCGTCACGGCACAAAGACCAAGGAGGTCCTTAATGTCAGTGACTTTCTTTCTGAATTGTTTACGGGCGGAATACTGATCTAGACCCGAATAATATAGGCCGATCTTTTCGCTGCCCTTGAGGAGACCAAGATCGAAAGATGGAGCAAGGAATCTATCCACTTGTACTGTTAGTTACCCTTTGAGTCATACAGGGAAGATTTCTCAGACACTAACATTGGATGCGACCATTACAGTCTGTATCTTTGTTGCATTCTGTTGTGCCTGTGCCAACGGTTATGATGGTGCGTATTTCATTAACCAAAAAGAAAACAGCATTGACTAACTCATCGCAGGATCTCTGATGGGATCCATCCTCGCCATGGACCATTACCAAGAAGTCTTCAAGACCGGAATGGATGGCCCCAAGGTCTCCCTTGTTATGTCACTCTACACAGTGTATGCCTTTTCCCCATCCTGCGCATTTTACAGCAACTGATAAGGATTCTTCCCAGTGGCTCCATTGTCTGTACTCCCGTCAGTGCTATCATTTCCGACAAGCTTGGTCGCCGCAAGTGCATGTTTATCGGTTCCTTGATTATTATTATTGGATCAGTTATTATCACCAGTGCTATGACCCTGCCGCAATTCGTTGTTGGTCGATTCGTCCTCGGTGTCGGCATTCAAGTCATGGTCGTCTCCGCCCCCGCTTACGCTGTCGAAATTGCTCCGCCTCACTGGCGTGGTCGTGCCGTCGGTGAGTATCTTCAACTCGTTGAAAAAACGTATTATGCATCATATCAGTTCTAACGCTTGAACAGGCTTCTACAACTGCGGTTGGTTCGGTGGCTCCATCCCTGCTGCTGCTCTCACCTACGGTACCGAAGCCATTAACAACCACTGGCAATGGCGCATTCCCTTTATCTGCCAGTGCTTCGCCTGTATCATCGTCCTTATCTCTGTTTGGTTCATCCCAGAGTCGCCTCGTTGGCTCATTGCCAACGGCCGCAACGAAGAGGCCGAGGCATTCCTGGTTAAGTACCACGGCAACGGTGACCCCAACGCTCGCTTGGTCCGTCTTGAGATTGAGGAGATGAGGGAAGGTATCCGAATTGACGGTATTGACAAGAGGTGGTGGGATTGTAAGTCTTGCAACTCCGATATATTCAGTACTATCTGGCGCAATAGCAACTAACCAAAGTTTCCCACTCCCTAGACCGCCCATTCCTCATGACAAAGAGTGGACGCTGGCGTTTCGCCCAGGTGATGATGATTTCCATCTTCGGACAGTGGTCTGGAAATGGTCTTGGTTACTTCAACGCCACCATCTTCAAGGTTATTGGATACGAGAAGAGCTCAACCCAGTTGTTGCTTAACCTCGTCAACTCTATTGTCTCAGCTGTGGGTGCTTTGACCGCCGTGTACTTCACCGATAGAATGCGTCGTCGCCCTGTTCTTATCTTCGGTACCTTTGGTGAGTCTCCTCTTTCCTCCTTAGGTATATCAAGACCAGTCCAACTAATCACCACGTAGCATGCGCTGTCATGCTTGGCATCAACGCCGGTCTCCTACAGGAAGTCGCCAACACTGGTTCTATCGGCAAGACCAAGGGCCAGGCTGCTCTTGCTTTCTACTACCTTTTCAACGTCATCTTCTCCTTCACCTACACTCCCCTCCAGGGTGTCATTCCCGCCGAGGCTCTGGAGACCACCACTCGCTCCAAGGGTCTTGCCCTGTCTGGCTTCATGGTCTCCGGTATCAGTTTCATCAGTCAATTTGCTACACCCATTGGTATTGCGAACGTCTCTACCAACTACTTCTGGATTTTCGTCGGCTGGGATGTTATCGAGTCCGTTTTCTGGTACTTCTTCTGGTATGTTTACTCCGATTCGGATTTCAGTCCCATCACATGTCATATCTCGTACTAACCCTTGATACCACAGTGTCGAATCCCACGGCCGTACTTTGGAACAGTTGGAGTGGGTTTACCAGCAGCCCAACCCCGTCAAGGCTTCCCTCAATGTGCACAAGGTTGTTCTTCAGGAGGATGGCACTGTTACCGAGAAGATTACCGACGATGCTTGAATAAAGCTTCGCTTTTTGGAGTCTATTGGCATGTGCCACCTGTCGGTCGTGCATGTTGCAGTGGAAAAGGGGGGGTTCTACGAGGTTGGGGCAGTTGTATAAATATCCACTTTCGGCCTTGTGCAGGAAGGGGGATTTGGAAATTTGTTTTTAATATAGGATGTTAATATGTTTCGAGCAATATAATCAGATACGAACGGAATATTTTTCCGCGTCAAACTTGTACTCATCAATCTAATGGAACGCCTAATTTAAGGCCCAGTGGAGACTAAACGGCCCGGCCCCATAAAAGAACAATAGCCCTACCCTGGGAACCCTGCAAACTTATCTAGAGTGATCGGCAAATATAAGAATTAAAATCTACCTAAGCATGCTTCAACACATCTATGCATTGAAAGAAAACGAAGTTTAATCCCATAGAACTTGTTTCATGCCGTTTTCTCGTGTTGAAAGTAAGACTTCTGTGCATTTTATCTCATCCCGACCTTTCAATTCGCAGCTTGCGTAGCATCAATACCGTCTTTCGTTACATTGGCCAGCCTACATAGTTTGTGTGATCATTAGGCACAAAACCCATGATGTGTCATCATATTGCAATGAGGCCCTTGGGATATTGTCGAGATAATCAAATACAGTCACCAAATTTGTGAATATTATTTGAATATATCAATTGGGAGACTTAAATTCCTTCAGCTTTAGCAATTAGACAAGACTGTGTTTTTCGTAAAAAGAGCAAGCGATAGAAATTTACTATATTCACAACTTTCAAAGTGACGAGGTTGGATATATATATCGACACTACTATGTACATTATCAACAAAACAATACACAATCACCAACATCAAATAATTATTACAAGGATGGAAAAGACCGAATAATATTCTGCACTGGAGGTACAAAGGAAAGAAATAAAAGGGTAAAGAGAGGCGGATTGCTAAAATAGGCAATTTCCGTCAAAATGCTGCCATTCCCATAAACAACGCACTGAACGCAAGATAACCCCCAGTATTAGAGAGAAGGGTTGTTGCACCATTAATTAGAGTGGATGACGGCAAAGATGTCGCATTGCTATTTCCATTACTAGTTGTCCCAGTGGCGGTAACGTTGCCTGCTGATAGCATCGCATTTACTTCGACTCACAAATCACATCCGGTGTAGTCAATGATACCAGCCACAGTCGAATTTCTGAAGATCAAGCTAGGAGTCGAATAATTCTTTCCTTGGGTCTGGAATCGCGGCCAATGGATCTCCGTCGTAGATGGCTTAGTATTTTTTGCCATTGCAGTCTATAACTCCATCATCTGGCCGCCGAGGTGCCATTTAGCCGAAGTAGAATTGCAAGTCCTATTAGGACGACATGAATTGTCCAAATTTCCGAAGACGAGGGGAATCTAAGATTCAGGGTCATTCATGATATATGAAATCTGGGAGTTCTGATCTGATTGGCCCCTCGTAACTGTGTCTATCTTGGGCATAGCTCACCTCGTCAGCTTTGAGATATTGTCTTGACAATTTTCATATGCGTACATATTATTTTCAGTGTTCGCACTGCCTACACGTTCTCCGATTATTATCCCCGGCACTAGGGAATGGCGGTGATGCCGGGGGTCACCAATCATGAAACTTTAAGCTTTGGCAGAACAGTCCAAGCTTTGTTGAAAATGGCTTAGTCGTCTGCTTATAGATGCTTACGTGAAGTCATGGATATCTGGCCAATATGGGTTGGAGCCCTGATCTCTTCTGCAGCTTCTACCAAACCCCGACCCAACTCGTTCTACTTTCCCAGAACAAATTTCTGCATCCTCTGTAACCACGAACACACCAGCGGGCGTGGAGGGGCCAGACATTGATTCCAGCTTCGATCCTGACTCTTGAGCACACATTTTGGATGCGCTAGCCGGCATATCAGACCGCCTTTGATCCCGCCTTTGTCACCGCTCCATCCAGTGTACACTTCGAACAATTTCTGCCAGTTGGGAATCAGGCATCCACAAGGCAATAATCAGGCATCAACCGTGAAAAATCAAGCTTTTGCCGCACTGGCCGCTATACACCTTCGCATGTGGGTTTATAGATGCAATTGGATAGCGTCGAAGTATTCATTTCCCGCCTTTTTTACCCTAAGCTCGGGGTCAGAAATTCTTTCCATACCCGGCAAATCTTCTGGAGTCACCTTTGCATGACAAAATCTTAACAGGCCGCTACGCCTTGCTTGCGAAGATGTCGGACGAGCGAGTAGAAGTTCGAGAAAAGCCTTCAAATGAACCTTCTGGCTTTCACTCAGATGCCGAGGAGGCGAACTCCCACCAGGGAGATCTTGCTCGGGCAGTCACCAACCAATCAGCAATGGAAGTTCCAAAGAGCTTGCTGCATGAGGTCATATTCATCGGTGTAGTTTGTGCGGCTCAATTCATGACACAGGCAGGCCTTGCCATTGCTATTGTCCCACTTCATATCATCGGTGACAGCTTCCACGTCACCAATCCCGGTCAATTAAGTTGGTACGCGGCCGCGTACAGCCTGACGGTTGGTACCTTCATTTTGGTTGCAGGGAGATTAGGCGACCTTTACGGGCACAAACTGATGTTTATCGGTGGCTTCGCTTGGTCCGGGTTATGGTCTATCCTTGGAGGGTTCTCTGTATGGTCGAACCAAATCTTTTTCGACATTTGCCGTGCATTCCAAGGAATTGGACCGGCCTTTTTGCTACCGAATGCCCTGGCAATTCTGGGACGCACATATGCCGCTGGTCCTCGGAAGGATATGGTGTTTAGTATCTTTGGTGCCACAGCACCAGGAGGGTTTGTTATTGGGGGTGCGTTCTCGGCTCTCCTAGCACAGCGCGCCTGGTGGCCATGGGGATATTGGATCATGGGAATCGTTTGCATAGCATTTTCACTCCTCGGATTTCTCGCTATTCCTCAGTCAGAACCCCCGAAAGTATCTGTTCATATGCCATGGTGGGTCAAATGTGATCTACTAGGGGGCTCACTCGGCGTCGCCGCCCTTATTCTGATCAATTTCGCTTGGAATCAAGGACCGATTGTCGGCTGGCCGACCGTCTATGTTTACGTTCTTTTGATCGTCGGTTTCCTATGTCTGGCTGTATTCCTGTGGATTGAGTTCCACGCAACATGCCCCTTACTCCCTCGGGAGATTTTCTCCGAGGAGGTTGCGTGGGTACTCGGTTGTATTGCTGCTGGTTGGTCCAGCTTTGGAGTTGTGATCTTTTATTTCTTCCAATTCATGGAAGTTATCAAGGGAAATACACCCCTTCTGGCGCTTGCGAAGTTAGCACCGGCGGCTGTGTCTGGTGCGATTGCTGCAGTCACAACTGGCTTTATTCTGGCTCGAGTGCGTCCGAGTGTGATTATGCTGATGGCTATGCTTGCATTTACAGGTGGTCAAATTCTCCTGGCCACACTGCCCGTTCATCAAACATACTGGGCCCAAGCATTTGTCATTTCTATTCTCACCCCATGGGGCATGTAAGTACATAGTTCAATACCCTGTGGAGATGTAACTTTGATGAACTAACACACTATCAGGGACATGTCATTTCCGTCTGGGACTGTAATCCTCAGCAACAGTATGCCACGGGAACATCAAGGACTTGCCGCCTCGCTTGTCAATACCATTGTGAACTATTCTATCTCGATCGGCCTTGGTCTTGCTGGAACCGTCGAAAGCCAAGTTAATCGCGGCGGCACAGATATATTCAGAGGTTATCGGGGTGCAAGCTACATGGGTATTGGTCTTGCTGGTCTTGGAGTTGGCGTTGCGACCATGTTCGTCATTCGAAGCCTAACTAAGCGCGACAAGAAGATTCCCTCGGAAACCACGGTGGAGAATTATAATGTGGAAGATGGTTCATAAGATGTCAATATAGAATTTGTATATCATTGCACATACCTTTAGATCAATTAATAGAGAGAAACAAAACGGCACTATGAACTCTTAGCCTCTTTATACCAGTTCGCTCTTCGTTTGTTTCCACAAGGTATGTATTTCTTCCATTAGCCCGAGGAGACGTATACTTTCAGCCCCATCTATAGCACATATTGCGCCCCAATACTAATTCCCAAGAAGGTTAGTTGTATCATACGGCGGTTGTATTGGCCCCCCGAAACCTTACAACGCCAAGCAACATAGTCTCAGCCTCCAAACCTCTTCTCCACTTTAGATAGGCGAGGCTTCACACAGCATTTCCGGTCAAGACGCGTATGTGTAGCTTAAAATGGAAATTCCAATCATAAATCATCGGTTTCTATAGCTCATGTTCCCACTTGTGGTCAATATATTTTGTTCGATATTGCCTATCAGAATATAGCTCAACTTTATCCTTTCATAGTTTGATTCCCAAGTGCTGAAATTGGCATCAAGGTTTCACCCGAGGACAAAGGTCCACACCATCCGTAATTATCGCAACGACACTGCTCATACACAGGGCAGCTAGAGACTTGTCAGTACACTGTTTTATCGGGTTCCAAAGCGCAACATACTGAACATCTTCCATGCTGAAAACCACATGCCACACTACCTCAAAGACCCACCCAACACCATAGTCATCCACGGTCTCTTTGCTTCCCTTATCCACCCAGTTCATCATCCGTATGTAATCGCTCTTTGGTCGTCGCCGTATTTGATCCCGGCTCACTGCGAATTGCGCGCAGCAGATGCCTCCAATAGCGTCCGGAACAGGTACATCCCCAAAGATCCCCTTATATATCTGTGCGAAATAAGCCCGCGTATCGTGATTTTTGATATCGAGTTCAGTAGGATTGTTGGGGTGAACGTGGGTCGGACATCCCGGCGAATGCTGGCATCGTAGATTAACATAGCCTTTCGCCTCCACGGCTTCAAGACGTAGGTTGTCTAGCACGGCCTTGGTTTTGAGTCCAAATAAATCGTTATGGCGCTGGCTTTCACCGGCGTGGAGGAAGATCGAAAACGGCGGTAGTTTATCGTAGTAGTCGATAATGTATGAAAGATAGGCGGAAACTTCGCGGCCACGAGTTGAATGGGGAATGAGTAAATCTGTCTCACGTCTGCTGCTCATCGAGTAAATAAAAGGTGTAGTATTGAGTCTGCGTCATGGAATAATGATGTTAGCGGCATAAAATATTGGTTCGGGATTGTTTGCATACTGGGTCTGTAGGTGTTTTTGAAGCCATCGCACATCGTCCGACCGCACCTTCGGTATTATTATAGCTACATTCGTCGAATCTGAGCTATAATTTCTCATCTTTCGAACGAGCTGCGCTTGTGCTTTATTCGTTTCAATCCGGTCACCTAATCAACCCATCAATATTAGCAGTGATCGCGGGCATATCAATTGCCGGCCTCTGAAGGCTCGAATCGTCAAGATCAACAAGTTGGAGAGACAGACTATTAAAGTGGTTACGGGCGCCTAACACCACGAGTAGTGCGCAAAATAAGAGTAGACATCCTGAAATGAATGCTCGCTGCCTAGTCCAGTTCATCAATCTTCGGAGTGGTCTGGGATGACCATAGCAGTTTGATCCATTTCGGTTATGGGAGATAAGTTGACCTTTCATTTTTGAAAAATGAATGTTATTATTAAAAGAACTGGGCGGATTTCTCTATGGAGTAGACGCACACTGGTCACATGTCTCACAATACAGTGGGATACCAACTAGCTCCATACATATTATATTAACTAGGGTCGGCCCCCGAAACTTTTTACGCCCAAAAAAGGTTAATTGTCTCATACGGCGGGCGTATTGGCCCCCAAAAAGCCCATGGTTCATAACTAGATTCAGCCTCATAACGTGACTTGTGAGGCTATTTTCCACTTTGTATCATAGGCTACCTATTTGTACGTAGTATCTAGTATTGAGGATATAAAGAATGCAATATTTTGAAATCAGGCCTACAGATATGTATAATATTCTGTAGCATATCTAAGAAGGAAAACCATCCTGCTTCATGATAAACTCAGCGCACCGCTCCCCAATCATATAAATGGACGCTGAGATCGAGGCACCTCCACACCGGGGAAGGACACTTGCATCTGCAATTCGCAAGTTGTGCACTCCGTACACTTTCAGGTTCTGATCTACGACGCCCTCCTCCTTTGTAAGGCTCATCCGACAGGTGCCAGCAGGATCATAGCTCCCTGTCACCAACCGCTTTATGTACTCATCAATCTCAGTATCAGTCACAGTCCTCCAAGCGTCCCTCTGTGGTGGAAACATCCTTGTAAGCTTTCTCTTGTCACTCTTGCTCTTGGTCTTATCCAGGAGACCATCTACATACTCCAACTCCATTCCAGGAGCCATCGTTAAACGTGCCGGGTGTGGATACCCAACGTCCGGTCCCGCAAACTCGTCTGCCAACCGCATGGCGAACCGCACTGCCTTACGCAGCCGCGCACTGTCGCGAGCGTCTATGAGCAATGGGAGGGTAATCTTTAGGGGCGCTTTCGTGTCAGAGCCAGACGAGAGCTCAACACTGCCTGTGGTGTACGGCTGTACAAGAGCCGCGTACCAAGTCATACAGGGCACTCCGGGAACGCCATGCTCGATAAGCGTGCTAATTGGGCAAATTAATATTTCAAGGTCAGTGACTTCCTTGTCGCTGGCTTCGGGAGGGACCACTGTCATTGTTGCCTCATTGAGCGTATCCGAGTGCAAAAACGCGGCGCCCCATTGACCGTTAGAGGAAAGCACCCCAGTGCCAGAGAAGAGCCACAGCAAAAAGTGCCATAATATAGCAACCGTCTGAACGATATGTAGTGTATGCTTGAGTGGGAGTTCGGTCATCACTGGTACAAGGATATGGGTAGTCAGATGTGCACCCACTGCAGGGAGATCATGTACCACTGGGATTTTGTGAGCGGACAGATGTTCCTTAGGGCCGATGCCACTACCCGTGGTTAGTATGACGAAGTAACGCTGTCCAAAAAGTGCAACCAACCTTTGCATTAGTAGCTGCGGCGTGCCGAAAACGCCGCTACAGAGAATCACCTCTTGCTTAGCCTTGACCAAAATGTCCGCACCCCTCCCAGGGTTAATCCAGACACCTGTCACCCTCGTTCCGTCATCCGAAAACTCAAGCTTTGTCGCTGACACGCCTGTACACACCGTCAGTCGCCCCTTCCTCTCGTTCACAACCGATTTATCCAGCCATGCAGTCAACGCAGAGACCCTGTTCCCATCCGCATCAACCGAGACCTCGCTGCGGTTATATCTTTGAGTGCCTCGCTTTCCCCCTCCATCACCTAGGCCTACTCTTTCCATCGCCGCATCTACATACGGCATGAGACCTAGATCGCCTGCCTGCTTGCGTGGGATTCCCTTCTCAACCCGTGCAAAAGCCGGCAATACCTTCTCCCAGCTCCATTCGTCCAACCCCAGCTCACGCGCCCAGCCGTCGAATTCAGGGCGCCCGCCGGGACTCCATGTCATGGAGTGAACGCGACTACTACCACCCAACATTTCGCCAGCGAGAAGTTGCACATGCCGCCCACGCAAATGCTCGTTGGGTTCAGCATGATAGCGGACGACCCCGCCCTGGAGGATGCCAAGGAGAGGAATCCGTGAGAGCAACCCGGCGTTGACGCGACCCTTATCTAAAACTAGAACTGAGACGTTTGGGGAGGCTGAAAGGCGGTGCGCAATTAGGCATCCAGCCGTACCGCCTAATGGCTTTGGGTTAGTTGGTTTGGTGGGTTTTGGTCAGGGGAAGTCAGACGGACCACCGACAATGATGTAGTCGAACGTCTTTCCGGCTACATCACCCGCTGTCTTTTCTGGATATGTTGGAAAGGGCCACATTATTCCTTGGATTTATCCCCCAAGGGAAACTTTGTGCTTTGTTTTGGCGATGAGTTGAGGTTCGCTTCAAGGCGGTGATGCCAATCCCGTCTCAGTGAGATTACTGCCCCTTCGTCCCTCCCCTATTGGTGCGATGAATCTCAACAAAAGGTGTGAGCATGAAAAATGCCCGTGGGAATTGCAGGCTGTCAATCGTATTAAAATCCTCGAAATTGCGGGACTAAGGGGGCCTAGCAATGGAACCAGCGCTTTCGGAAATGTCAAAACAAACAAGTTACCGGCTATCGCCTCGAACGGGCATTTTGTCCTTCAACTTAGCCCACAAATTGTCAATCTGAGGATAAGGATTTGCCTTTTTTTCCTGTCGACCTATACGGCAGAATGATATCTGAGAAGACCACTAAACATGCTACTAAACATACCACTGAAAAGACTACTGAAAAGACACCACAAGGCTGCTGATACGATCGACTATTCTTACGGTCATTATTCCAATTATTGAGGAGAAGGCCACCATAGCTCCAAAGAACCCTACACCCGAAGGTTCACGTTGGGAGTATGTCCTAACAGATATGAGCTTGAAAAAGCACAAAACCATAGCTTCCCCCACAAAAACATGGACATGGGATGTGAGTGATGCCTCGAACACATTCATCTATTAACAAGCTAATACTTCTATAGGTTTCTTATGGGCAGGCGCTGCAGTTCCAAAAGGCTCCCCGGCAAAACGGTGCCTTTACTTCAGATTTTCCATTACCTTATTTCCGGGCATCAGCTACTACCGAGATGATAAAACCTTTGATGATTCGCAGTACGTCCATGAAAACCATGGAGTTGAAGCAGGCATCGTAGCAGTACAGAACATTTACGGTGCCATAATCGCATCGGTTAAGAATTTGCCGCAGGATGGAAGCGACGATGATGCCGCAGATGAAATGGAGGATTTCACCACCCAATATCCAACAGATGAAGGTGACCACGAGACGAGTGACGATGGCGCCGTATGCGAAGACAACTTCCAGTATCTGCAATATATTGGCTGCTAGTTCCTAAACCACGACGATTAATCTTCTCCCATTGGCAGCCTATACTTGCTATAATGTTTCTGTTCCTTATTGCTGTCTGCCATACCGCAATAAGACCCCCACCACTACCCTGCCTACCTGCTATCCCCTCAACGGGTCATCATGAGAAGGACTTTGCGATCAATCGTGACGATACCCCAGAGGAAGGAAGCTCAAGTCGACCAAGTCGTATCGCACACGTCGCGCAAGCGCAAATGGGCTAGCCCTACAGGGAACATTGGGGAGGTTGTTCAATTCGACTAGGAATTTATGCGCGATTGTGATATCATTGATCAAACCCGCTGCCACTTAAGATGATCAACCGGCCCCCATTTAGTCTGTCCACAACCCAGTCTATGATCTTAAGCAGGAGACTACGCGATCTGAGACAGACGACGAGATGGATGTCGACTTCACGAAGGAAGAAGATAAACGCAGAAGGGGAAAATGATAATAACGATGACTAAAATTGAGCGTTTATCTATTCTTTTACGTCCCTTTCTTGCCAGTCACTGACCGCTATCTTTGTACGGCGACTCGGACGAATATGCTTCATACCCTTTCTATGATGGTTCTATCTTGCGGTGCTTATTTCTTATGTATTTAGCAACCTCCTTGTACCCCTTCAGCTGAAATCGGCCGACTCCTTAGGAAACGGCAGATGTCAGACTCAGGTGACTCGTCACTTCATCTGACGGCTCTTGCCTAGGGTCTACAGTAGGTGGACAATATAGCATCCTTATCTTCCAAAGAGCTTTTAGCGTAATAATTGGTAGCATGTCTTTTGACACGACGTGTGTTGCTATGGCATCCTGGCCTTCCAATGTTGCCAGTGAGTGTTACCGGTGACTACCTACGGTCAACCTACAGTCGATCTACAGTTAACCTACGGTCGACTGCAGGTCGACCTTGGGTACTCTGGAGGTACACTGCGGGTACACTGCGGGTACACTGACTATGTAGCTATGAGGATTGTCACCAAACAGAAAGCTTTCTGGCTGCTTATTAGCTAGCATAGTAGCTTTCATTGCCAGAAGCTACCTAATATGAAATCGACCGTCGGAGTAAAATTGTGGTCAAAGAGAAGGTGACGAAGGAACCAGAGGAGAATTGCCTGCAGTAACATACAGACAAATTTGTTGAACTCCATAGCTAGGACCATCTAGCCTCGAGAAAGCGGCAACTATATCCTTCCAAATACAATCTCGATACATTTCCCTGGTGCGTGCCATTGATTTTTATCAGAGTCACATATCCCGCTCGAAGCAGTATGTTGTCATGTATACCTCGATACCAGTTGATGGGGAGTTCCACGCAGACTGCCGGAACTTCTCCGTCAGCTTCCACCCAGGGGGCGGTGGGTTGCAGAATGTTTTCTCCATATCTTCTAGGTGATTATACCCGATCATATGACAATGAGGAGGTCCCATCTCCGTGAGCTTTGCGGTGTAACTCTCAGGAACTTCATCGATACTCACCACCAGAGACTTTCGCGCCAGTTGGAACGACCGTACCATTGCGAGCGAGAAATCCACAGGCGACAGGAAGTACAGGACCGAGATAGTGACAATGTGATCAAACGGTCCGATTGTCGGGAGGATGGCTTGAATGGAGCCGTGATGAACTTTCTCGTAAACACCTGTTTTCCGGCATTTTTCAGCCATTCCTTTGGACAGCTCGATTCCAGTGAGCGAATAGGCTTCGCTTGATTTTGTGTCGAGCGATGAGGAAGCCGATTTTCCATCATTGGATGAGGAGTCCGAATTTGAGTCCGTGATCGGGCTGCGATGCATCGACTGCTCCAAAGCACGACCAAACAGACCAGTTCCCGCGCCCAGCTCGAGGATCGTTCCCTGAGAAAGATCGACACGGGCCAAGACCCTGTGGTATATGGTGTCCAGGTGTGTCATGGTGGCAATATTCTCGTCGTATTTAATGCTCACATTGTCGTACACATCTGCTACCGGGTTTGGAACCCGCTCACGCGCGCGACGTTGTACCAGGTGGCTGGCAATGAGCGTGTTTGTGAGGGCACGATGGCCACCCGGGAAGCTTTCCCTTATGACAATGTCTTCCCACTGGTGGTCTGGGGGCATGAAAACCGCGGGCATCGGGTTGACTTCCATGACGACGGGCTCTCCGTGTCCAGGCCGTGGAACACGAATGTCGACGTTGCACCAGCTCTGGCCTGCCATATTATTGGCGTGGAATGCCTGCACTGCAATCTCCTGCAATTTGGTATAGAACGCGGGGTCATCCTTATATCGTAGTGGCTCGATGTGTGTCTCCGGATGAAACTTGGTGTCGAAGGTTAAAAAGTCGACGTAGGGGGTGAAGCCGGTTGGGTACATGTATCGCGCGGGTGCCAGGGGCACTGGACAGTCACCCACCTCGATGATAACCACCGAGTGGTCCCAGCCGGAAATGTATTCCTGGACCACCACATCTGCGGGGATCGTGATGCCATCGATTATAGCAGGAGGACGGACTACTGATTCGCTGTTTTGACCGGCCAGGGCTCGACCGGGAGCCAAAGCTTCTTCAATGCTGGCAAGGCTCTGAACAAGCTCATCGCGGTTGCGACACAAAGACTTGTTCGAAATGAACTGACTGGCGCAGCTGGACGCTGCCTTGACAAAGAGTGGATAATTGGAGGTACCAGGCACGCGAGGATAGCCCAGAGTACGTGCCTCCTTGTAGAATTCATTCTTTGATCTTTCAAGAACCTCACTGCGCTGGCCAATGGCGGGGAGGTTCAGACTCTCAAAGTACTTGCATGCTGCAATGCCCGCCACATCGTCTTCATGTTGACCCCACATAAAGTTGAAGTAAAAATCATACCCCTTCGAGACTGCATTGTCTATCTGCTCATTTGCGATGTCCTTTCGAATCCATACAAGGTCGAATGTATGTTGATCTGTGAAATTGCCTGGGTCATGGGCAGGACTATACTCCTCGGTTGGATGAGGGCTAGTGAAGGCGCTTAGCAGGATACAGATCCTCATAATGTGTAATCCTCAACTCAGTTGGATGTACAAACTTGAATGAATATAGGGTGGAATTGCAGTTGACACTTAGGCCTATTTATAATAACTGGCTGTACATTGTATGAAAAGCTGTGTGGAGTGTATCATACACCCGCTCCCGCTGAAACTAAAATCGTTAGCCGTAAAGTCAATGCACCTAAAATTATCTACTGCATGCAATTCAACGCGTTTTCCAGGCCGATTGCAAATTCGCCCATCTGATTATCGCGTTCAAAGGTCGCAGCAGCTTTGGGAAAATTAGATTTCTGATCCCTTGCAGTGATAGTACCAAAAATATACTTGAATACTATAATAAAGCAAGAAACTCCCTCTCACGTCTTGGGATTTATATCATAATGGAGATCCAAAATTTATAATTTTTCCTCTCATTTATCCCCCCCCCCCCACTGGACCAACCAATCAACATTAGATCTTAGTGTGATGTTAATACTAGTATGTGCAGCATTATCGTCTACGTGGATCGAATCGACAATGTGTCCCTGAGGATCTGGTAAATTACCACTAGTAGGCTCTACCGTCAGGGCCATATTGTATACAGTTTCACCCATGTCCACCGGTCTATATGCAATTTTTTTATGGCAATCCCGGAAATCTCGGAAGTGCACTTTCGTTGATGTAGATTCGTCTGACAAAACGCTCTTACCAGATCTCAAAATCAAAATTGCTATCATAAAACCCTGCGAGTAATATCGCTGTATTATGCACCATAGTGATACACATCAACAGTAATCTTGTCCTCGAAAACATTGCAGCTATTGCGGGTGGACCTTAAGAGACTAGAAATTTCAGGCAACTTGCACCTGCATATAGTGAGTAAACATATCCATAGCTCGAGCTCTATATATCGACAGTTACATTCCCGTTTACTTATGCGGGATATTGGTCTGATTGCGTAAATTACTATAAAATAAACTAGTCACGTTCGATCTCACGATCAGTATGGTCGGCCGGACCGTAATGCTCACGATATCTTATAATCCAAATAATAGCAGTTGCCGTCAAGTAAAATAATGCCATGGCCATGAAAAACAATCCCCGCCAATTCTCCCCAAGTCTTTGTCCAAGAGTGAAACTACCCGCCATCAGTGGTCCGGAAATTAGATCACCAGTTGTTTCAGCCACCGCCATTGCGTTGTAGATCATCACAAGGTGACGCCGGTCTACCGCGAATCCTGCGAGACTATGTACTAAAGCAGACAGACCATAGCCGTGAGCAAATATAGTAAGACCTAATATGATATCAGCGGGGTAAGCTATGCGGAATAAGCGAAGGGCAAGCCATTACCAATTAAAAAGAATATGATGTTAGGGGCCACTGCCATTAAAAGACTCCCAATGAACAGTACACTAGCGCTAAAGCGAGTGAGATAAATGTCTTTTTTTCCCGCAACCATGTTGAACTTGGTCAATGATACGTGGCTGGCAATTGGAAACAGCACAGTGAGTAATACAAGGTTTAGCACCGCTCGATAAGACATCAGCAAACTAGCCTGGTGGATAATTTGAATGAGTGAACCTTTTCTTTAATATATTCTGCTTGCCATAGTGAAAACTCACATGTGATATATCCCAGCGAAACTGCTTAGATACATACTGCAGGAAAAAGGGCTGCGATATTCGGTCCATATTTGTGATGGTAGATAACATAATCAAAGCGACTGCTTCCCTCGATATCCATGTCAGGTCAAGGGAATTTCCTAGGGAAAGGAGGATTGTTTTTACTCGGAAGTAAATGCTGGTTTCAGGATTGGTTGTCACGGCCTCTGGAGAATTATTGTTGCAGGTTTGTAACCCGCTTTCTTCTTGCAATTCGGACGTTTCCGGAAGCATGGTAAGTGTCACTAAGCTCCCTACCGCAAGGGTGATGATGCCGATATTCACAGGCAGCCAAGGATTCTTTTGCATAGCTGCAGATGCAAGTGGCATCATCAATACTTCAGATAGTAGCACTGCAGCATTCATAAACAGAAACACGGATGCCCTAGCACAGTTAGTATCAATTGAAGGAATTTAATAATATACAATACTCAGCCTGTAATCCAAACGCACCTTTGCTCTTGGGTGGTTAAATCGGTCATAATAGAATATATCAAAGAACCGGCCACTAGATTGCCGCCACCGATCAAAATGAAAAGAGAAGATAGCCAGGTCAGGCGAAGTGGAAAGGCATGTGTCCAGCCTATCAAATATTAGAGGGGCATTTGTCAGAGTTGGTTAACCTACAGACAGCTTGGATCCAAACTCGTGCGATAGTAAGGCCAAACATGGCCAATGAAAGTGCCAATTTTCTCCCGTACCTGGTTGCCAGGTAGCCAAAAGGAAGGGAAACAATGATACCTTTCATCTTCAGTTAGTTGACATGATCAGTAATGATCTGCAATGATACGTACTTGCTAGGCAGTCAAAGAGCTGTTGCCAACCCCTTATTTTGGCAAGCTCGCTTTGGATTGGCTCGATTTTGCAACGCGCATCAGATCCCTGCTGATAACTTCCGGACGTTGAATTTGCCTGCCGATGATAATTTTTGCAAATGATCGACTCCATAATGACTGTCATCGGTGCCAGTTGTAAAAAATTGCTACCCTCCGTTATAAGTACAAAGACGAAGAGAGTAAAAATATGCTTTTGATAGCGTTTGTTTCTGGGGTCGGCAAGTTCAGGATTCAGCAGAGCCGAATGCTCTGATGTAGGATTTTGCATTAAGGCAGCTACAATTAGGAAATTGCTTTTGTCATGAGAATGGGGTGTATCTAGGCATTTAAACATACGATATCGATATGTACTGACGGATGCGTCAGATAAATTACATCCAGGGCACATGTCACCTTGGAAGCATCGGGCTCCGTGCTCTTCCCGAGAATAGCGCGAGTACGTGTAGATCCCAATGTCACATATGTCTCTCTGAATATAATATGCAATTCAAAAACATACCCCACATACTAATAAAGTTACCGTCAAACATATACTTGAACCTCTTGTACAACGTTGTAAATTGAAAAAAGTGGAACATTAGTACCTGCATTGTAGGTATACGATGTAGACTTATGAATAAGGCCAGTCAATCTACATATGACCCCGTAGTCACTCAATTTGAATGATTAATATGATAGCGGGGGAATACGATGTACTATAGAGGGGGTTGCAGACAAATCCCTGCAATAACGCTAGGACCTTATTTCCAGCCAGCCACCATCAAACTTACGGTTTGTTTGCTGTCTCAGATACTTACGTAGTTTCACTAGGCACTTGTCAACTCAACTACATTAGATCAAAAACTCCGGGCTAAGCATTTTCGTTATCACGGTCCAACTTGAACATTATGAGGATCTGTTGTCTCCATTCTTCTGACGAGGGCATCGAGGCTGGCACCGAGGATCCTGAAGATGTCTGGCCCGATCCCGGTCTGTTTACCGACCAACACTCGTTTGAAAACAAATATCTCGTCAAGGCCACGGCAAAGACCCAGATTGACGAGCTGATTGCAGAAGGATACGACTTTTATCTAAATTTCCTCTGGGGTACCAATGATGATGCTATCGCCGGAGTTGAAGCGGTCAAATACTTTGAATCTTTTGGCCTTCCGTCGGCTGGTGTGCGGAGCGAGGAGCGACAACGCTCCAAGTTTGACTTCTTCGCTCAAGCTAAACGACTGGGCTCACTGCCTATTCCAGGGACTACCAAGTTCCCGTTATTTGTAAAACCGGCATTTGACTATGCGAGCAAGCTCATTGATGAGCATTCTCTTTGCCATAATGAAGCAGAACTAGACGCTACTCTCAACCGCTTGAATGAGAAGATGCGTGGTGTACGGCTTCATCGGGCACATGCTCTAAAAGAAGATCCGGAGCAATATGTCAATGCCTGCGAAGTGGCGGGGCGACATAGCACCGATCTTGTCATCCAGGAATTCATTGATGGGGAGGACTATTCGGTCGTTGTACTTGCTATGGGTCATGTCCCTGTTCCCCTCACTCCCTTGGTTGCCCAACACACGAAACAGCTTCCGGGAAAAGAACAGTATTTGACATACGATATCAAATACGACACAGGGTCGGGGTATGAACTGCTATTGGAAGAGCAAAATCCTGGATTATATCGCGAGCTTCAAAGAGTCGCCGTCGAAGCCTTCAAAGAGACCCAATCACATACAAGCAACATGGGGTGTGAGGTCGATTTTCGCGTAAGAGGTGACGACCAAAAACCATTCATCATCGAGGTGGATCCATTACCTATTTGGTCTTTCCCACCAGGGTCGAGATATGAGGATCTAGATGTTCAGTATGATTTTCCTGGTGGCCACAGGGCCGCGCTCAACATCTTCATCACTAACTACTTCCTGAAACATACCGGCAACCGTCTGAGTAGTTCGAGTCAATCGTTTGAGGATGATGATATCTCAAAATTGGAGAACTTTGATCATATTTTTCCACAAGTCTCCCATGGTGGCACGGTGCTAGATCTCGCATGTGGGAACGGTTCAATTGGCCGTGCCCTCGTATCCGCAGCGTCACGAGCATCATGGATTACGGGTGTGGGCAGCTCGGAGAAGGGATTGCAACTGTGCCGACAAGGTGGATGGTACAACGAACTTATTCTTGAAGGAATAGTGCAACTTCTCGCTCGCTACCATCAAAAAGTGGATCACATATTCTGCCTCTCTAGTATCGATATATTGTCTGTGGAAGAACTGGACTTTGTCCTCGCAAGATGTTTCCAGCTCGCGAATTGCTCGATCACGTTGAGAACTCGCCAGGTAGACAAGGCGGCCGGTATCAAGTCATTTAGGGAGCCACGCGGTTGGCATCTAACCTATAACCAGTCAACTACCACTGGGACCGAGATGGACTTGACGGCCTTCCGATTCGAACGACCATAGGTTGATAAAGTCTAGCGAATGTGAAGTGTCAATACATAGGCTTATGTGGCCGGCTATTCTTGTATGCTGTAGGTCACCGTTTTGAAAACATAACCCCGACCTAAAAAACCTAAAACTTGATATATATCAAACTAGGATGATCTAGGAAATAAATCTGGTGATCTAATCCTTAAAAGATGGGTGTGAAAGGGGCTCACTCTCTCTCCTTTCCCCAAGAATTCATCAATATTAGCTTTTTTTTATATCTCATCTCTTCTCTGAGCAAGCCCGCACTGACAATTTATGGTACCATTACCTTTTAATACCAATCACATTTACTTCTCATTGTTAGCTTTGTTGCTGTAGCAATTGTTTTATTCCCGAGAATGCAAATTTGTCTCTCATTCACTTATCCCGCTCGGCCTCTTGATCGGCCCTGGTCTCTGGTCCTCCCCGTCTCGGGTGATGCGCATTCATATCTTCGAGGATGATGTGTTCGCCATGAGGGCGATTGACGGCTAATTTCTCAGATGTTGCCGGAAGGCCTGCTTATGATCCGTCTGTTGTGACTTTAGCTGGCTACAACTATGGGACCGCGCATGATGACAAGAAACCAGTTTCTTTGTCCTGCGCCCATTGAAGCTTCCCCACCCCGACATAATGCTTGAAACCCGTGAGCGGTTTGCAAACCCTGCGAACTGCTCGGGACAACAATCTTTAGAAAAGAAGGTCAGGTGACAATCAACCCCGCGCAAGTAAACAACTCTGCATCCCACAGACATTATCAAGACACCTATGTGCTCAAATGATTATTGCCATGACGACGAAGAAATACACAGTAAGTCTCTTTTTTGATAACTGATGTGACACCTGTTAATCTTTACAGGACGCTATTGAGCTTCTCAATTCCAGACGTAGCAGTGCGCAGTCGAGTCTGAAGCAGATGAGGGGCTTAGATGATATGACAAAATGGTTAGAATTACTCGGTTATTCTGTATGCCAAGGCCAAATATATCAAGCAGTGCAGCTGCTAATATTACAGTAGCAAACCCAGCTGTGAACGTTAAACATCATACATATAGCCGGCACCGATGGGAAAGGAAGCACCTGCGCATATATCTCGTCCATACTCCAGAGCTCCGGGTCTAAGGTTGGACTCTACACTTCAACACATCTTCTAAGTATCCGTGAGAGGATTCGTATAAATGGCAAGCCGATAGAGGAAGACGCCTTTGCCAGTGCCTTTTTCGAAGTATGGGATAAACTGCCACGTGAAGCTAGTACCGACATGGACATCCCCCGATACCTCCAGCTCCTGACTTCTCTCTTTTCGTGTCTTTCTCAAGGAAAAGGTGGACGTTGCAGTATACGAGCCACACATGGGTGGCGAGTACGATGCGACGAACGTCATATCATCGCCTGTTGTGACAGCGATAACCCGAATATCAGAAGATCATGTCAAATACCTCGGACCTACTATCAGAGACATCGCTTGGCACAAGGCGGGGATTTTTAAGCCTCATTGTCCGGCCATCTCATCACCCCAAAATGAAGACGTTGCTACGGTGCTTAAGCAACGTGCAAAGGAGAAAGATTTGACGCTTTTTTTGTTGAGCCTGATGTATCACTACAGGTCACAGGATTTCAGAAGGAAAATTGCTCACTCGCACAAGCAGTGGCCCGAACATGATTATCACTCAAGAACCCGATGAATTGACCGACATAAGTATGTTTATCAGCCGTGGCATTGAAAGGTTTGACTGGCCTGGTCGTTATCAGCAGATAGATCACGGGAATCACAGGTGGTTTCTTGACGCTGCTCATAATAAATCAGCGCTACCAACTGCGATATCATGGTTTGCCGAGATGAGCAAATCACGAAGGTAGGAGTAATCACCTCCGTATCATACGCAGTGGCATAGTGCTTATTTTCATAGCTACACACAGTCCTTGCTAAGTGCCCGTGTGGCGCACAACACAAGGTATAGTTTAATCGTCTCATATAACATATATAATTATATCTTGTCAAGATGCAGACAGTCTTATCATAGTAGGCGATTCATATATTCCGTACTTTGCCTCAAGCTTAGTATTGAATATCTGTTGGTGACCGTAATCTTACTGCAACGTAATAATTGATTTTATTGAGTACCAAGGCCTGCGATGGGAAAGTCGGAGAGCGACGTACTTAGTCACTTGCACTCAAACCGGCCCTCTCCCTATCCCTGTCGTGACTTTTTCATTTTATATTCCCGGCATGATACGGTATACGAATTTAGATTAGTATCTTGCTAATGAGTCACACCGCTAATTCTCCCTGACCCTTTCGTACTTCTTCTAATCCCACCTACAAAAGTCTATAAAGAAACAATTCCATGCTCTTATTACCCCTATATCCTAGCAGGATTATCAGTTCTACTAGGTCAATTGTTTTCTATCTAGACGACTATGTCTATCGACTCAACTTCTTGGGCTACGGTTCAAGATTTCCTGCAAAAGAGTGACAGTCAAACTACCGACTGTTTCAATCGATCTCAATGGGACGAGCTCTGTCAGATTGCTTCGGGTCTTAATGGTCATTCGGAATGTATCGCTTTGGACCAGGTTGCTAGCGGGCTTAATAATATTGTTTGTCTACTGGAATTCTCTGATGGGACTCGTTGGGCGGCCCGCGTTCATATTCGAAGGAATACCTCTATCCCCATCAGCACTAAACTCGAAAATGAAGTTGCAACAATGCAATTCATTAAAGAGCATTCCAGCTTACCAGTGCCCCGAGTTTTTGCGTATGAGTTTGACGAGAAGAATTCGGTGGGCGCCGCTTTTATACTGATGGAGGTTCTCCCTGGTAGCGTCGCTATGGACGCCCTAGGCGGCTACGAAGCCCATCGTGGTGTGATACCTAATCAACACCGACAAGACTTTTACCGCTCCGTCGCAAAATGTCATGTTCGTCCCTTAAGCCCACTTAATAGGCCTACTTCTTACTTAGTCGCTTACTATACTATAAGTCCAGTTAACTTCCTTGAGACTCCCAAAAATTGGGGCGATTATCCGTACCCACGAGGGAAAATATGAGCTAGGTCCTTTACCAGGACTCGGTGGTCCATTTGACACAGCAACTGCATTTCTCGAGGCGTGGGCCGACAGCGTTAAGTTTAAGTGGGATAAAGAGACAATCACACACATGATGCAGAGAGGTCCAATCACAGCGGAACAAATGCTAGCGATTATCGAGAACTTCCCATCACAGATCAAATCGATAGCCAGCCAGCTATCCTTATGTGACGAAGGGCCTTTTCCTCTCGCCCATGATGACTTTCTTCATAGTAACATCATGGTGGACGACAAAAACTTCGATGTGACGGGAATCATTGATTGGGGAGGAGCTTGTACGGCGCCTATCGAGCTTCTTGCATTCCCGGAATTCCTTACGGCTATGCCCATCTCCTTCGATCTACCTCAAAAGTACGACCAGGATGGGCAGCCCTTCGATGAGGAACTACGAGAATTATGGCGTGAGCGAGGAGAGTATATCGAAATGGTAAAATCAGCCGAGCTCAGCGATAGCCTGCTCTCAAAGTGCCTCGGCAGTAAGAGGGCTCAGGCCATAGCTTATTCGTATGGTGCGTATACGTGTGTTGGAAAGCTAGGTTTCTATGATCGAGTCATGAGGTTTTTGAAGAGGGAGGAAGAGAGCTTAGATAATTGAGTCAACGCTTTGAAGCTTGACTGGATAGTATCTTTTAGTTATATAAATCTACTAACTCCGATCAATCTATCTCGATTTTGGGTCAGAAAATGGGATAATAAAGAGGTAATTTATGTGTTATATAGTCTTGTGATATTTTCAGTGGTCTTACATATCTTGTCAGTTTTATAGTCGATAATAGAAGAAAAAGGCGGAAAAGGGCTTCGAAGTATACATAACCTTTAAAAAGATAAACTGGCTTAACACTATCAGATTACTTTAGAGTATATAATTGTAAAACATGTATTCTATATAGAGTATATAAATCAACTAAATTATAGAGAATACGGTTGTAAATTATTAATTAAATGGTAAGCAAGTTAATACAACTCTGACTAGAAAGGTGGATAATGTTACGTGCCAATTCTTCGATGAAAGAGTGCAATTTAACGGAAATACTAAGTACGGAGAATAAAACAAAAAAAGAAGAAAGAAACGAATCCCCCGACGTCTTTGTGCGCTCGTATAGGTAGTAGCACTAAATATTGTAAATATCGTCTATGATTGCTCCTAATCTAGAACTCTAACCGAAGTCGGGACCTAGTGGTAGAATCCTGCCTGTAGTACTTAGATCGTGATATAACCCCCGCCTAAAACTGTATTTAGTCCCTGAATGCTAGTTTATTATTGTTAATATGATCTTTGAGAACTCGATCTTCTTTATTAGTATCTAGCTATTCTTAGAGACGTAGAGGGGGCCTTAGCTTACCTAGGTATTGTGTATAGAATTCCTATATCTTTTTTAGTATATGTTTTATATTACTTGTAGGATACTATTGTAGATTAAGGTCGTATCTTAACTATTATATCCTATATTACAGCTTCTGATAATATGTCTTCGTATCTAGGATTTTCTCGACCTTCTATTTATCTGTCTCCCTAACCTATATTAGCGGAGGTAGGTCTATCTGTTAACCTTCTAAGAGTTCTGTTATCGCTACCTTCCGTAACTTACTTAGATAGAAAATGGGGTATACTCGAATTACCTTAAGTAGCTTTAATTTATAGGAATTACCTACTTTCTTACTAATCCTATAGGGTCTATTCTACCAGGTCATCGAAATCCGGGCTGAAGCTGCCGCGATGGTAGGAGAAGCAATTCCGACTGAGGGATAGATAAGTGGCCGCCACGGAAGCTGTGGGCATGAAAAATTATTGTTTGCCTAAGATTGATTGATTGACCTAGTTAACTACAACATCGAATCATCTCTCCCCTCTTTTTAGTAAATAAACATATTTAATTACCAGCCCCAGCATTTTTACCTACAAATCTTACTTTCCTGCTTTCCAGCCATAATAGGATATTACTCTTAACCAGGATAGTGAAGTAAACAGTTGTTTATAGTTACTCGTTTTACACACCATCACAATCCTCTAAGATCTCAAAATAAACAAATAAACCAAATTGTAAGGCCAGACCGGTTAAATAACTGTGAAAAATAACTGTAATAGACCCCTCGAGAGAGAAATCTCATCAGATCCGGCCAAGTCTCCGAGCCAAATTAGGATATTATACTCATTATACAGACCAGCCACCCGAATTTTCCATCGAGAAATAGCCCGTGGATTAACTACACCCTCTATCCTACTCAACAGGGGCTAAAGCTTCATTAGAGGTAAGTCTATTATTCGCTCTTCCCGTTATCCTTACCCACTACAACTGATCGATAAGTATACTAACGTTATACACAATCTAGGAAACCAGGGAGCTTTAGTAGATCACCTCTGATACCTAATCATTCTCAAACCATATGATTAAAGCTATACAGCTTTTAATATATAGTACTAGGTAGGTCTTTAGGATACCCTTAAATCATACTATATAGTCGCCCAAAAGCGATTTATCGACAATATAAATATATAAGTAGCTAGTCGTTATCTAATCTACAGACCATATAGCCCAAGGGACTACTCTCACCGTTTTAGAACAGCAGCCTAAATAGGGAACAGCTTAATAAAATTATAAGCGAAGAAAAGACACTAAAAAGTAAATTAAAATAGTTTATTAAAGAAAGAGCTGATATCTCTATAGTAAGAAGGATTTTCCTATAAGCGTTAGTTTATCATATGTATCGATCTTCAGCTATATCTATATTTTCACTAGATATAACTATTATAGAAACTTTATACGTCTCTTCAATATTCCGTAGGACGCTTAAAGGGGGACTCGATAGGAGGTTGAATTTTAGGGGCAACCTTCCCTTTCTTCTTCTTCTTACCGCTCGTGGATAAAATAGTTTTAGCCAACTGCTCTAGCTCTGTAGTATACTACTTAATAGAGTTTTCGGGTTTAGCAATCTATTCTGGTAACGTAGGGCTATATAATCTAGGGTATTTGTTTTCCGATTTAGTATTACTAGCAACAACTTCCTTAGACAGTTCGATTAAGCTATAAGAGTTCTCGGATAATACTTCCTAACTTTATTATACCTTAGCTCCAACTATATCATTCGAATCTAATAGCCTAGTTAGTATATGTAACAGTCTAGTATAAGCTCTTTCCCCTTACCGAGCCCTCTGATCCTAACGAAGCGCTAACAAGTATTAGAACCCTTCGTAAGAATCCACAATTTTCTATTCAGTTATTCCCTAAGACTTTAGCTTTCCTCCGATTTACTAGTAATTTCAGTAACTAGGGTCCTAGGTATCTCGAACGCAGTTATAAGAGTAAAAAGTACCGGCAGAGCGCTTAGGAGCTTAACTTCGATCACTTCGGTAGTAATATCGTTAATAAAACGTTTTAATATAACCTATATTTAGTAGTACCTTAATTAATAGGATACTTAAAAAACTATAATACTCGTAGGACTTACTTTATAGTATATAAGTAAGTAGTCTAGTGCCTCTTCTAACGTAAAACGTATTATATCTAGTATAGTCTTCTAAAGAAGAGAGTTAGAAAGGCCTTAGAGATTAATAGTGTATCCTACAGGGTAGGTAGTTAAAAGTATATTAATACTAAAGTAAGATTAAAGAGCCTTATAAAAAGCCTCCTTTTAGTAATTAGCTCGAGTGTCTTAGAGTATTTTAGTAAAGTAGTGATTATAGGTAATAGGATAGCCTCGCTAATACGATATAAGGAATTCTTTACTTCCCCTTTTAAGTATATAATATAAATTTTCTAGAGCTAGTAAAATCACCTTATTAAAAATAGTTTTCGAAGTAGCCTTATCCGCTATATAATAGACTATATATTAAAGAAAATCTCTTACAGCCGCCTAAGCTATAGTAATATAGCTTTATATTATATCCTCCTAAGGGCTACACTATTCTTAAAATAAATCTTTTATAATTATAGGAATAAAGGTTCTAAGTAACTCTTAATCCCTTATCTTTTTAAGAAGCGTTTCTATATACTAAATATATTTATCTTATATAATACGTATCTAATATTTAGAGACCGATCTTTGATCTTCGATTTTAAGAATATAGCGTAAATAGGCCTTGACAAGTCACGCGGTACCAAGCCAATTTTGGTAACGTTGCTCGGTGTCGCGGGGTACCGCGTGACTTTATAGGTTTTGGTACCGTTACTCGGTCTCGGTACCGTATAGTGCTACGGTACTAACGGTAGTCTCTATATAGTACCGTTCCTATATAATTTACTAAGATACTACCTATTTAGGTTATATAAAATACTATATAAGTCGATAAAATACTATTCTTTACAAGTATATAAGCTATATCTAGATTCTAGACCTAGGTCTTTTATCTTTATAATTAGGATTTAGTGACTATTTACTAATATAAATATTTAAAACTACCTATTTTTACTTTAAAAAAGTACCTAGAGGTATAATTATTAATATATATTATTATTACTTTCTTTTTTATATCTATATTATTCTTTATATCTAATATTTAGGTATATAGATTATTCTTTAGACTAAGTTAAGTAATAATAATATATTAATATATATATCTAAAACGTTTCTAGGGTTTTATCCTTCTACTATATTTTATACTATATTAAGCTTCTATACTTTAGACTATATACTATATCTTAATTTATACTTATAATATAAAGTTATTTAATATTACTAGGTAAGTATAATTTCTAACTATAGTTAAAGACTAGGATAAATATAATTTCTAACTACGGTTAGAAATTAAGTCTCTAACTAAGGTTAAAAAGCTAGTCTTTAACTAAGGTTAGAATATAGAATTATTTAATAATAACTTAGCTAAAACCTTCTACCTCTAGACTAGGGGACTAGTATAGACCCTAAAAATTCCTATTCCTATAATACTAAAGAAGGTACTATATTACTCCTATATTACTCTTATAGTACTCCTATAGTACTTTAATAAGGTATATATAAGAATATAAAAGAACTACCTAATTAAAATATATTAATACTATATAGCTTAAGATCTATTATATTCCCTTTTATAAAGATAGATTTAATTATTACTAAATTCCTTTTAGGCTACTCCTCTTATTTTTATAGACTAGAGCTACTTAATTATATAAGTATATTTCTTTTATTACTCCTTTTATTCCCTAAGCTACTTATATACCTTTATTTCTATTACTTTAAGATATTAGATTTTTAGTTATTCTCTAAAGCTAGTCCCTTATCTTAAGTATTATTATCTTAAATTAAGTTTCCTTATTATTTAACTAATCTTAATCTTTTTTCCCTAAACCCCCTTATACTAAACTAATTAATTAACTAATAAATACTAAATATTATTAACTATCTTATACTTAGCCTTTTAGAGTATAATTCTTTAGTAACTACTACTCCTCTAATAACCTTTAAACGAATTAGTAGTAGTTATAATAAAGAGTAGGTTTAGTATATAAAAATAAATAAGATATAATTTATTAAATAGTAGCGATATACCTTTAGGGCTTAACTAGAGCCTCTATACTATAAAGTAAATTTCGAGACTAAATATAAATTATAATTATAGGAGTACTTTAATTAAATTATATACTACTAGAGTAGCTACTT